TATGTATGTCATGGAGTAAATAAAAGAGCCCTGCACTCTTCGCCGCGCCCGGGAAAAGAAGAGGTTCGCATTTCTATCCATGCTAAACTTTCCCCACGACGTGTCTCAACTTACCTCGCCCATGGGGTAAGATGAGCAACGTGCCAGATGATTTTTGACGTAGCCTTTCAGTACAAAAAGAAGCGGTATGAAACATTTCTGGCCACCATTACATGCGCAATGACCACTCTGTCCGTCCAACCCGTAAACGCAGAAAAAAATGATCAGTAAGTTAGCCTGTAGCTTACGAAAAACAAAAGGCGGCTCAACTTACCTCATTCTTCCCTCCGTAACACAATTGAGGGCATTTTTAGGCCATCACAGTATTTGTCAACAATTGTTGTTTGGGGGACTGGGGAGGGTGGTTACTGGCTCATGAACTTTCCCCCCCCCCCCAAGAAAACGAAAACGAAACCGATCATCCGCGAAAAGAACTATTGAGCTCGAACCAGGCGCGGATACAAGGGGGGGGGGCCATGGGGGCCATGGCCCCCCCCCTTGGCCGATTTTTTTCAAAAATAAAATAAAAAGTTAAAAAGTTAAAAAGCTGAAAAGGGGGCCTCCTGAAAATAAACTGGCCGAAATCCGATGAGTTTTTTTTTTAACCTACCCACTTAGTTATTTCTTAGAAGACTAGCTGAGAAGACTTCTTTGTTAGAAGATTGGTAAAGCTTTTCATAACTTGGAGGTCTCTTATACTCACAGAGATGACCACTTTTACAGGGCCTCCTAACCTGCACAGAGGGCCTCCAAGCCTGCACAGATGTTGAGATGTTGCCTGAACAGCTAGATAAGCTCAATAGACGCAGTTCTTTTTTTTGGGGGGGGGGGGCCAACAAGTGGGAAGATGGGGCCTCCAACAGGTGGGATTATGGGGGGGGGGCCTCCTGGTTTCTAATGGCCCCTCCCTTGGAGATTTTCTGGATCCGCCCCTGGCTCGAACCAAGGCGACGAATCGATTTATAGGTATGCAGGATGACTAACGATGCCACTTTTTGACTTCTAGTGTCAAATAAATTCCATCATCTGGATAGCACGTCAACATTCTATTTGACATTTTACAACAAACGTATACTATTTGGCGCGACTAGCCTCATAAATGTTCTGAAACTAAAACCGTTTCTTCGCAATTAACTTGGACCACGTCATCCCAGCTTATGCACGACAAAAATAAAATAATGCTTCAGGATCACTGGCCTGAATTCCAATGCTAAACGTTTACTCAAAACCGGTGTGGCTGAGGCACTCTTCGCTACATCTCGTGACGGCCACCATTGTGTTGCATTTTTTCGGTAAGCTATAAGTTAATGAGGAAAGGATTGGTGAGTGTGTTGAAAACAGCCCTCCCCCTCCACCCCCCCTCCCCCTCCTTCTTCTGGAAACATAAGTAACCGAAAGATCTGGCGATGGTTTATCCACCTCCTCTGCCGCCGCGCTGCGAGGCCTCGATTCGTTCGGTATGTGGCTTCCTGAGCGGTCCTCCCCGGAGGCAAGGTGAAAGGTCATGGCCTGTATCAGAAATTTATACGTTGCTGAATATGTTTTATAGTTCTTCCAAAGCCTTGGACACCGTTTTATTATATCAGATAAGCATTGCACTTTCTTATCAATCAATACATTTAAAGAAAACTTGATCATAATCTTATACTGCGGCAATTGTAGTTCTGCTTACGGTTGCCTCTTTATGATACGGGCCACCACCACCTCCACTGCGCTGGAGCTCAGGCGTTCTACCCCTCCCCGCTACGGACCGGCCCTCGGGCTAGGTGTGTTAGTACTGAGCGCAAACCTGTAGTAGTCACGTGACTTTCATTCACGTAGCGAGAACGGAAGCTATAGGCGATACCAAGGACGGGCTCTGGGGAGGCAACCGGCGCGGAAAAATAGCACGATTGTAGTTTTGGAAGAATATCTGTTGCGGTAAGAGGAATTATACAAAACATACGTCCTAGGAGCAAACATGTGTTATTCCTCCATACTTTGCGCTACATTTCCTTTCTCCAATGGCCAGCACTTAGCAAATAATAGCACAATTCTAAATTGGTAATATATGTGTACAGTAGCAACTGCGGGTCCCTGTACGCAATCGCACCCTCAAGTCAGCTCAGCTTGTCAACCAAATTAGATGAGTGCCAGGCACAAGCTGCCGCAACCGGTGACATCGTACCGGGGCAGGCAGTACGACCGACAGATGAGTCGCAACCAGCCTGTTAGTGTGGATGTGCGATGGTCGTCACCACCAAAACTGCGTCACAGCTAGCGTCCCAAACAGACGGCGCAAATATCGGACGGTTCGGTGATTAGGAAACCCGTCCCAAACAAGACTGCCCCACTGCACACCTGTGTCTTTAACTCTGGACACAGGCGATGAAACGTTAGGAAGTTGTAGACAGGATAACCTGCCTTTATCGACCATCGCCAATTGTCGCACCCTGGTGTTTGACGAGAGGCCTCCGATCCCGAAACCACATCCAGTAGCAGGCGAACAATCTCTGTCTCCGCCATTGAGAAGGGCCTTCGAACACATAGGCCCCGACTCTCACCACAAGGGTCCCACCAGCTTCAGGACGGAGCTGGTGCAGCGGCAGCTGTAACTGCACCAGCTGCAGCTGCCACCAAAACTGGACTTCTGAGGAGCCCCCTGTCACCAGGGCTGACCGATCAGCTGCGGGACGGACCCCTGAGGTGCCCCCGATCACCAGAGCCCCGCCTCCAATCACTGGGGTTCTACCAGCTGCGGGACAGACCTCTGAGAAAGGGCCTCTGATCCGTCACGCTCCACTGAACAGGCATCGGTCGCCGATGCAGATTGCGCTCACCAAACGTGTCGTCTGCAGAGGCCCCAGAGCTCAGCTGACAAGTCACCAGGACAAGGCGACCGCGAGCCGTCGTTGCCAAGACAACAGCCCATTAGCCGCAGAGCCATCGGAAAGCGTCGCCCACACGACACCTCCATATTGTAAGGTCATGGTAAAGGGCAGTCCGTGATGTGAATACAAGGGAAACGCTACATAAAACACGGGAAAATGACGCAAGAACGAGGGAAAGCAATCGCGCGCCATGCTAATCAGTTGCCGGTGGCCACGTGCAATCGTCCTTGACACTGGCGGCGGCAGATTTCCTGCGATGACCACCTCGTTGATAAGCGGCTGCGATCGTATCGGTGAGCCGAGCACACCGCAATCGGAGGTCACCAATGAATACGACGATGTGACGACCGGCCGCCAATCGCCACCGTTCAATATAGACATGCCTGGTCGGGATTCGCAGAAATTCGATCGATTAATGCCCCTCTTGTTATGCAGGCCATATGCCGGCCGCATGAAATCGGACACCTGCGGATGTAAAATCAGACCATGGCCGACGGTCGGTTATATAATCGGTGATGCCATTTACAGGAGTGTCAAGCCGTCACTCTACACCGAGGACGACTCCTGAGTCCTGAGTGACAGCAGGGCCGGGCAGGGGCGGCAGTGCAGGGCAGGCCAGTTCATACCGGACGGCACAGCGGCGCGTGACGTCATACACGACCTCGGCAGAGCAGCGCATACTGAGCCAAGCAATACGTGACGACATTTCTCTGGAGTATCAGAGGTGGATGATATTGAATAAAACTATTTCAAGATATTTCGCAAAAAAATATGAAGATAAAGAACCGTAAAGACGGATTATTGAAGAATAATACAGAAAATGGAAAGTTTTATGGAGAAGTATCTCAGAGGGCCCCTTTGGAATGCAACAACTAGCCGAAAAGGACGATAACAAAATTTACACTTAACACCGAAAACGTGAGACATAACTGACAAAAGCGGCACCCAACAGCCCGTCCAGTCATTCTATTGAATTAATTGCGCGTCGCAAGCTTTGCTAATGACAAATTCACGAGCGCAATAGCTAATTGCAAAATTCAAGGACCCCATTTGCCGACCCTGACCATTCACGCTTGCATGTCATTTCGTCGCAATTTCCCTAAAGAAACGACCTCGTTTTTCAGTGAATTGAATAGTTTTCGGTCGAGGATGACAGCATCGTCCGAAGTAAATTATAATGTGCTGATTGAACCATTGATTTTTATCTTCACACGATCTCAGACCCATCTGGATCTCTAACAATATTTCTAACCGTTTGTAGGTCACACTCACATGCTGAGAAAACAACCAAATTGAGGCTCTTTTCGTAACTTATTTCTCCGCTGTTGGAACAACAACCATCTGACACCAGGCTAACCGATTAAGCCGACCACAAGAGGCGGCCTGCAGGCGAACACCCTTTGTCTCCGGTTCGCGCCGCGTCACCGGCGGCATCTGTGACGCACGGTGGCGGCGCCCAATTAGCGCCCGTTCGAGAGGAGGCGGGCCGTCCCAGGTTCCTGGAGCGAGCGCACCGTCTGGCGCTCGGTTACCGGGCTCGACGACCAGCTCTGCCCGGGCGACCCGGCCCGCCGGGCTCCAGGATCAGAGTTCACGGCGCCACGTGAGCTGGGCGTTCATCCGTCTGTCGCGCCGGAGCCGGGCTGAGCTCCATCCCTCCCCTCCCACCGGTGATGGGTGTGTTTGAGCACTACATCTGCGACTGCTGGTTCACGCTGCAGTTCTGGCTGTACGGCTGGCTCGGCTGGCTGGGTGTGCTCGCCGAGGACTGGTGGTTGCAGCTGAGGATTGCCGCCGCCGACTGGGGTCCGCAGCTGAGGAGGACGGCCGTCGAGGACTGGTGGCCGGCAGTGAAGAGCCAGGCCCAGGACATGTGGCCTGTGGTGAGGAGGACGGCGGAGGACTGGTGGCCCACTGTGAGGAGCACCGGCGAGGAGTGGGCGCGCTACGCCTGGAGAACAGCCTATGACGCGTGGCCGAGCGTGAAACGAGCCGCCGAGGATCACTGGCGGCACTGGATACACACGCGGTAACCACCGCTGATGGACCAACGGAGGCGGCGCGTTAGACACACCCGAGACGTAAACTCACCTGATGAGATCGGCCGACGAGGGTCCCGAGTCCTGGTGGCTGGGCAGCGGGCCATTGGTGCTGTAGGCCGGCTGCGGCCGCCGCCACATGCCGCTGCTGCCGCCCATCTGGCCGTTCTGGGCACCTGGGGGACACGGACACCGCCACCGTCAGCACGGAGCCGCCGCCGTCGCCGGCGCGCCGGGCCCGACTGAGCCGAGCCAGCCGCTGCAGAAACGGCCGCGCACCGTACGATCACAGCGCTGCTACACAGTCGGCCGCCCGGCCGGCCGGCAGTTTCCTCCAGAAAACCCCACCGCCGCCTATTCTCCGACACCGGGAAGAGCGCACTAATGCCGGCGCATCACGCACTTACTCAATTAGCGTCATGTTTTTGGTCAATGAACAGCAATGCCGGCCGACCGGCGGCCGCGGCGGTCACGACCCTGACCTTCACACGGATAACCATCAAACGAATTTTATCGCCGAAACAGTCGTGTTTGACAGGCAATCGCGCCCGTACGACCTGTGTACTGCCACATGTGTACGTGATTAAATCGATCACATCACCACGCCTGAGGGTATATTTCTTACCGGAATCTGACGATTTGTCGGGCATGGTTGACCCCGAGTAGCCGGGGGTACTACAACACCCGCCCCACCGATCTGACGTTCCCCCACAGAGACAGACCGCGGCTCGGTGTTGGGACCGAACACCGGGTCAGCCGCCGGCCCGTCGGCCGGGGAGAGGTGTAGCAGGTGCAGCCGGCGCGGCGGACGACGGCTCACTGCCGGGCCGCCGCGGCGCGTCGCCGTCGCTGCCGTCCCTGCGTGACCGGTCGACAAGGAAAACGGCCACATCGAGCGGCCCCTCCGTGGGGCGCCCACTGACACGGACCGGCGAAGGACGGATGGACAGGAGGACGGACCGAACGGAAAGGATGGACGGACCGAACGGAAAGGATGGACGGACCGAACGGAAAGGATGGACAGACGGACGGAAAGGGTGGGCAGACGTTGACGGAAAGGATCGACAGCCGACAGACGGACGGAAAGGGTGGCCAGACGTTGACGGAAAGGATCGACAGACGGACGGGAAAGGATGGGCAGGCGTTGACGGATGGGATGAACGGGACGTAAAGGAATGGGGCCGGACGGAAGGCAGAGATGGGTAAAGGGACGGAGCGAGTGTGTAAGGCAAGGTTTAACCTACCTTACTATCGACTGCGCTTTCATATTCTTAAAGGGAGATAATGAGCTTTCTTTTTTCTTTAATAAAAATTACTCGACATCTATACTATTTCTACTGTAGTTTCTATAAAATATGAAAATTTCCTAGCACATTTTCGTATGTGAAAAAGGTTTTTATTTTTGCAAAAAAGAAGCAGTACTTGCAGTACTTGTAACACCCACCGAAATGCGTTGTCCTTCTTGTCCTTCTCTATAAAAAAGTCGCAGTATATGGCGCTTTTGTTTCAAACAGCGACGCTTGGGTTTTTGTTTATGTTATCGCCTTGTCGTTGCTTGGTTGTAAGGATTCTAATTTGAATTAGAGTTAATTCGGTTTAGAATTAATTAGATTCGTACATAGTGCCTACTCTTCTTTGTTTCCAAGTATTATTTTGCGCCACAAATGAACGGCATGCGCCAGAAACGCAGCCAAATCTTGCGATTGCGACTACGAAATTCATTATTTTGGCCTCAGAGCCTGAAGCGAAAAATACAAGCATATTTATTTCAAAAAGACTTCAGGTTTGTCGAACGGTGTTATGAGAATTTTGATAACAGTACTGCATAAGTTTTTCAGTGATGCCGCAAAAGTGTTGTATCTATCTTCTTTTATTGTGCAGTCGGCGGGACCGATTCAAAATTGAGTCGTTGCTACTAAAATAGCAGCATATGGCCTCAGATGATGAACAGGAAAAATAGTTGCGTAAATTTAGACATAAACCACCCCCAAACCATGAATATCTTTTGAAGGCACTATAGACGACCATTAACTAACTAGATGTGATGAAGATCAAATGTAAGGAATACGCTCATTTTACAAAATTACATGCAAGTACCAAAAAGTGATGTAAGTACTTATTCAACGGTCATTTTCAGCGCTCCCCGCTAACGTGACTTCAAGTTGAGATATTTGCGGCAAGGTACCGCATTGAGCAAAATGGTTTTAATTTACATTATAACTTGTTGTGTTTTGTCAGAAAATGATCCTAACTCAGATTTTGTGGAAAAAGGTCATTATCTCCCTTTAAGGCCTGGCTACACTATGCGTTTTCTGCGTGCGTTTTTGCGGGTTTGCGTTTTTTGCCTTATATCGGTCTAGAAAAAAGTAAAAAATAATATAATTTTTACATCAGTTATATGCAGAAGTTAATATAACTCTTATATTAACTACAATTGAATATAAAAACATCACAAAAACGTAATATCGTTTATTTTTCTAGAACGATATTACGCAAAACCCACAAACACGCAAAAAACGCACGCAGAAAACGCATAGTGTAGTCAGGCCTTTACGTCACAAATCAGTGAGCAACATAACCCATCGTCCCAAAAATATTATATATAGCACAATATGGACTTCGATGATCAGCTGATTGCACGCGGTTTGCTTAGATTTTCTTAGACAAAAACACACGCAATAAACGATAATATGTCTGCCAGACACAGGGGATTAATGCTTTGCAAGCGATATATTCAATGAAAATATCACACACGCTTAGTGACGCAAAAAGCGCTAAAACTTCCGTGAAGTTTTCCATGAGCCCTTCAAGTCTACATTTCAATTCAAGCCTAAACACCGTTAAAGTCTCGAGAAGCCGCCCGCTGAATTTGTGTAACCATCGTCTCAGCACAACCCAGACACGAATTGAATTTATCTTCCAAAAAGGAACGATGTTGCTTAGCGTTGCAGCTCTTCCCTATAAGTGAATGGCTTTACAGCTATTCACTTTGCAGGCTCCCCTTGATCATTTTGGGTACGACGCCCAAAATAAGAAGAATATGATTTAGCCTGAGTTTCACTTCTTTATCTCAGAAAATGCCTAGCCTATTTGAATCTGATTCGTGCAATTCAGGACCGACGTCGGACGTACTGCGGTACCAAATTTAGGGACCTGGGAATAGTAAGCAGTGACTGTGCGGGCGTCTATGCGATGCGAGTGGATGACTGTGCGAGTCACTCATCAAGGATTAATTATTTGCGCGAGCACTCGACGTAAAACATCACTGACTTGCGGTAAAAGCGTACGTGTTTGGTCCCAGGCCAAATACCAAACAGAACAAAATAAGCGAACCTGAGCCCTAAACTAGGGACATAGCCTGTGCATGTGTCCAAATACGGTCACAAGCTATGGCTGAGCACGAGGCATTAGTAGCGCACACAATGTGAAAACGCATCGCCAGCGCTCTTCAGACAAAACCAAACACTTGGGGAAAGCTGCCACGATCCTGAAGTGTGTAATCGAAGCAGTTTATGGTGCTGTAGACGGCTGACATCATCTAAGCAAGTGATTGTCATTGGCTTAAAAAGGCACTTACAACCTGGCCGAGCGCAAGGAACAAATATTCGAATTGGTGAACAGTGTTTCACTACTGCAACAAAGTACACCGTTCAACTAAGCAACTTTTGTGTCCAGCACCTCTGTTGCCAGGTGTCTGCCGATCGATAACAGGACACACTCGCACGACAAGACAGCAGTGTAGCGACATAAAACGAACCACGCTACCCGTACAGCGGCAACCGGCTCCCTGACACGGGACTCTGAACTACTCTGCAAGGGAGATGAGCGGCTCAGGGAGCGGGGTCGCGCGCCTCACCTACCGTAAAAGGCCGTCGGGTCCATAGCTAAGCGGCTGTCTCCGGCGAGTCCGCAGGAGTGGCCGGCCGGCCGGCGCAGGTCCGGCGCTCCCCGGCGGCCCTGTCGACAGCGCACACGGATCCTCAGTAACTCAGGTGCTCCGGGACGGGCGAGTTTGTTCAGCTGAGCACACAGGCTCGCTCAGCGGCCGACTGAGCGGCAGCGGTCACATGACACCTGTGCCGTACATGTGCCACTGACTAATGGTACATTTTTATCGGAAATGGTTCAATAAAAGATTATGTATCTATTGAATTGTCTAAATAAAATGCGCAAACGCCGCTATACAATCAGACTATTGTTCAGGTTAGTCACTACCAGACGGTTAAACCTCCCACACCCTTATTTCCACACATAAGGCTCTTTTTTGTGACCATTCATAGCCGCGCACCGTTAAAATGACATGTGACTGGGTCGGAGCAGGGGGTAAGGCCCAATACAAAGACAGGGCAGGGGGACAGAAAAGCGCTAACGGTCCCACTCAGCATGGACACAGGACAAGGCAGGGGCAGGACCCGATACATTGCGGAAGAGGTCGACTCAGGATAGTGAAAACCCGAGACATGGCGGGGAGGGAAAGCTCATCGGACAATCTCTGGGTCCTCTCCGTGTAAAGCGTGTGACATCTCTGGGTGATAAATGAAGTGTGGATGCACGTTAGTCCTGCTTGTGGCGACACTTCTGCGATAGCTCGGTAAATTAATCAACGGATGAACTGAGTCTGACTGGTTAGCGCAAAGAAATATCACAGGCAAGCTTGTTCGAGCATTCCAGGTGTGTCTTGTATCATGCGCATGCAATTGCAAACGCCCGTTTTGTGGGACAAATGTTCCCTCGTCATCATATGGCTAGGCTCAGCTTGTAAAGGCTCTGCAACGATTATGAGATTAGGGGCACAGCGCAGTGACTAGGTACATACTAGGTAGTGAATTCAATTCGTCTGTCAGCAGGAAATGTGATAAGCTTCTATAGAATGTCTCAGGTTACAGCTGTTGGGTGCAGAGTAACCGTAGGATTGCACGCTGCTGAGAATACGAAAACAAAACCAATACCTACCCCAGCTAGCCCGGTGGTTAGCAGCACCGAACGTTCACGATTCCGCCCAAACAGGATGCCGTGGTAAAGATTCCATAAGATCAAATTCGGTTTGTTAAGGAATATGCAGCAGTGAAGAACTGTCGATAACGATTTGGGTGATCATTGAACTGGTTATCACCTGCACTTACAAACGAAAACAGTCTACCCGTGCTTACGACCAAGGAATTCACGTTAGGTACGACAGTCTACCACGCAATGCAGGGTCCCCAGCGCGGCAGTTGTCGATAACGATACCGAGTCGATCCTGACAAACTGCTCGGCCCCATAGCAGCACTAAACAGGGTGTTGGCTACATGCCTAAGTAGTGAGTACAGAGGCTATTGCCACTGAATGGCAGCAGGTCGGTCCATCAGGGCACTTCTGCCTGTCTTTATTGTCGGAACGTTTCCCATTAGTGCGACCCGTGAACCAGCCCTGTTACAGTGTTATAACCGACACGGTAGCCCCCTATATTGCTATCCACTACAGGCGGACGGCACAAAACCACCGTCAGCACCGACCATCGCAGGCCACCAAAACGAAATACCAAACAGGTTTAACTCCCCCCCCCCCCCCCCCCCCCAACGAACGCTCCAGGTCGGTCGCCATCCTCGCCGTCAAACGTGGCCATCGCGCCGCCTCGGACGGCCTCACACACGCGACACTTTCGCAACGAGCCGCGTCTTTTCCTGGTGGCCCGGCGAGCGGCGAGCGGGCGGCGGTACGGCCGGTTCTGCCGGCCAAGGTCATGCATTTTCTGCAGGAGGCGTCGGCCGGTCGGTGTTCGCTGAGCGAGGCGCGGCGGGCGGTGCACGCGGCGGACCGGACCAGAGCCCCAGCTCGGCCACCAATGGAGGGGAGCCGGGCGGCGGCCACAGCGTGCCGAGTAAAGGTCAAGGGGACGCACACTGACGATGTGAGCGACGATAACCTGCCACTGGCCAAGTAAATTCTATCACCGCCGCGTCCATTTAGGTTAGCAGTCCACGAAGGAAATATGACCAACTGATGAACTGTTTCATCGTGTCCCCGTAGCGAAATGGTGCCACGCTGGCAGGGCCGGCCCAGATCTACACCGACGGAGCGCAGGGAGAAGACGAGCGGGACCGCACACTGCAACGGTGCAGGAAAACGGGGCGCGACACACGTGTTGGGACCAGTGATGACGCACGGCGCGTGAACCCTGACCCCGAACCGGTGTTCTCGGTCCTTTTTAACCGTGCGAAACAACCCGCTCTCACGAGCACACCGAAAGTCCACAACAGAAGCCTGCATTGGATCATGTAAATATGAAACAAATGACAAATAATGTTAGACTGATAAGTGATAGGCCTTATTATCATAAGTGACTCATATAAGTAAGTGGCAAATGGCAAGTAATTGGCAAAGATAAGTAAGTCATCGCAAAACAATTATTTTTGTTTTATCTTTATGGGTAGATGAACAAGATAAATCAATTGCTACTTGATGCAATTATCTGTTTGATGGCACTTGATGGTGTACCCAAGGCTAAAGAACTTCAGCAAACAATGGAAATAAGCGTGTTGTAATAAAAAGCTATTGTATACTAGCTATATCTATATCAATACACTCTAAGTTCAAGCTGCATGCAGTCTGTTGGTGCAAAATGTGATCATGTACAAAGAGGTGTAGGCACAATTGGTATAATTATGGTTGCTTGTTAGCTGTTGCAAAAAAATCAAACCATTCTACGTTTCTAACTCATTTCACAGTATATTGCATACTTTGGTAAAAGCCAATAGACAAAATAGCTTACCTACATGCAAGGATCTGTGCAGTCTGTTTGTGCCAGTGTATTCATAATTATTATAACAGGGCAAAGGTAGCAACATCCAAAAAACAAGCTTCAGATTTAATGTTTCATTATATAAAGTACAACATCCTCCTAATTGTTTTCAAAATGAATAAACAAAGTATACTACCAATAAGTGGTTTATATAAATATAGGTGGTGAAAATTCAAACCTTATCAATTTTTTCTCAGCCTGCAGTCACAATATTCCCATATAGCTTCACCACAACAACTCACATTAAAATGACATTTGGAAATAATGCTATTATCACACCTAAGATCCTACAGGATAGTATAACATCAGCAGAATATCCATATTATTGCAGCACTTTTACAGACAAGACTAATAGAGGCAAATTCAATAAAACTAATGAGAGCTTTGTTTTTTTTTTCAATTTTGGCAATGAACTGAGGTGGAAATGAGTGATGACCAATGAATAACTGACACAACTACTATCTTCCAGTTGTGAATAACCCATCATGGTATGGACCTTCAATCTACAGAACTCAAAATGTTTAAACAGTGAAACAGATCAAAATAATAAAGAACACTCTAAGCATTCAAGATAAAATTAGGTACTTCAGACCTCACATTTTAAGAACCACATTAAGTAGTGGTGGCTGTGCTAAGTGCTTGTATTCATTATGTGAGGTGAGACACATGACCCAACTGTGACACCATGGTAGTGAGAGAATGACATCACCAATGAATGGCAATGCACCAATGACGTGAGAGAACCAGTTTCTAATTACTCTTTCTAGTCTTTCCTCACTGCTGAAAGCTAACTGCAAGGCAAGCCCCTGCAGTATACTTTTAGCAGCTCTTACTGAACATGCCTCATGGCCACAAACTATTGATGCTGGGTCACAGGTGCTGGGGATGGGTCAATCTGGACCTGAAAGCTGTCACACATGCACAATGCTACTGCTATAACATTTTAAGGTAATACAAAAATAGGTATGTGACAGATGAAAACCCTAATTTTTCCCTGTAACATTACACACTCATAGAAGGCCTAGGGCTTTCTTGAGCTTTCATGTGAAAATCACTAATCAGACTTTCTAATAGGAAATACAAATCTAACTAAATATCCAATTCCTATACAGTGCACCAACACCAAATCCCAACTAAAACTCCTCTTCCAACAGGCCAGGTAGCAGTGAATTTGTGAGTGTTGTACCTAATGCAGTCTAGGGGTCTTTTCCAGTGGCTACTTCAGCCTCCCCTAAGCTCCTCTTGTTTCAAACAATATATTTCCTGTCGCTCCATGAACCTCCTCTAAGCTCATCCCCCTTCCACACATCACCACCACTATTTGCCTCCTCCCTCATCCCAAACAAAAGTTGGATTTTTGGATCAGGCTTGGATGAGGCTCTAGTAGACATAAATTGAAGCATCTAATGGGAATTTCAGGTATTTGAACATTGTGCTGAGCATTGTTAATAAGATTATTAGAAGGATGGAGAATAACCTGTTGCTCATTTCTATCAGAAATAGTTTATCATTTATAAGAAATGGTTTATTTTTTCTATTTCTGATAGAAATGAGCAACAAATTATTCATGTTTTCAGCCCTCTGAAACTAAAACTATCAGAAATAGCTTATTATTTATCAGAAATGGTTTATTTTTTCTATTTCTGATAGAAATGAGCAACAGGTTATTCTTCATCCTTCTAATAATCTAATGGGAACGTGAATTGTTAACTGTAATTTGAATGCTGTTAGAGTCCAGTAGACTAGACTGCTTCTCATTTCAGCAAGATGTGTCATGTTCAAGGCCCTTTACACCCCCATGTTAATGCAAGATGCAACTATGCAACAGTCAAAACGACTAGACCAGACAGCAAACCTGAGGGGTGTTCACGGGCACCGCACACTGCTGCATGTGGTGTGGGCGGTGCGTCCAGCAGGCGTGGGGGTAGGGGATGGGTAGGTGGCTCTGACGTCACGGCTGTGTGTGGTGGATCAGGATGGTCCGCTGTGGCCCGTTCCAACCGGCCACAGCGGTCACTTAGTGAGCCTCACTCACTAAGTGAGGTAACGGAAGGCTGACGTAGGGACGCAGTGGGCGGAGCTTGGAGGCTGTGTGAGGTCCAACTGCACACAAGGCCCGTGAACAGCCCTCTGAACTATCCATTCCATAGTCCTTCACGTTCCCATGCCAATGCAACCAACATGCAACAAACATTACGAGGCCAATCTCAATCCCATGATACTCACAGTCTTCCAACAGTAAGGTGATGTTAATTGACCTTTAATTGCACATCTTCATCATACATCTTCCGCTATTTATCATTTAAAACCAAAAATGCAGGACGCTCCCGCAATGTGTGTGCCAGTGTGTGCAATACACGCAATACACAATACCTTGACACAATACACACAATACATCCAATTAGACGATAACAGAACATCGCGCCACGATTGTAGCAATTGTTCAGGCGGTATTATACACAGGTATCATCCCTGAGAGGGAAAAGTCTAATGACGTAGTCGAAATAGAGGAAAAGTCTTCCAGTCTGAAAAAGACAATTTTTCAATTTATATGAAAAATCATGCTAATGATAACTTAGCTTCTAAATTTGATTTTGTTGTATGTAATTTGATGTAAGTGTGTATTATTTCACCATTATGTTACTTCCATGAAAGGTAATTTCAGACTTTTACAAAAAATTCATGACGTCACATATTGCATTATTTGTTATTTATCCTGGGCCCTGTTCATGAACCCCGGCGGTCGCTGCGGCCGCTGCGGTCGCTGCGGCCAGCCGGGTTGTTACGTCACAAAAAGGGGCGGGGCTCATGAAGCATGACGAATGTATGACGTCATCTTGCTGCGGCCGCTGCGATCTCTGCGGCCGCAATCCAGCGACCGCCGAGCCTCAAGAAAACTAATTGCACTGAACTTGGCGCACTGAAGTCAAATAGGCGCAGGCCGTGTTGTCATGGAGACGATTTTGTAAACAAATTATCTACCGGTGTGCTTCAGTTGTAAACAATTGTCGGAAACTATTTCGGCAGCAGACGCTGTTCATGGAACGCTGCTGAGGCCGAGTGAGTGATGACGTTTCAAAAATGGGCGGAGCTTAGAGCCTGCGGCCGGCCGCAGCGGCCGCAGACTTCATGAACAGGGCCCTGCTAAGATACCTTCACGTATGTTTTAAATCACCGAACGAAATCACAAGCAAGGCCGTATATAGGATCCCAAGTATCCAACAAGCGCGCAGGCCATCTCTACACCCAATAATTGCGACAAAGAAGCGATTCCCACCTTTTATAGGAGCCAAGCACCTGACACCTCAACATTGCTGACGTATCACCAGCCTGGAGTAGTTCTTTTTCCGAAAGATGAACGAATGAAACGATTATTTTCTGACGTAATGACATGATGTGGAGATGGAATTAAATTGATGAAATACTAGGACTTACTCCACAAGGAGATCGAATGGGTCGGAGCGCTTTCAATATGTATTATACATATCGTCGTCAGCGAATCAATAACGGGTCGAATCGAGTCGGGTATCGAAGAGTACCCGACTCTTCGATACCCGATCGAATCGAAGAGTACTCTTCGATACCCGACTCGATTCGACCCGTTATTGATTCGCTGACGACGATATGTATAATACATATTGAAAGCGCTCCGACCCATTCGATCTCCTTGTGGAGTAAGTCCTAGTATTTCATCGATTATTTTCTGTTCGGAGAAACTGTAGAGTGAGAAGGTCATCACCGTTACTATCAGAACGTCACTGATCGCATCGCACGTATTAGATGATAGATACTATGCAATTGCACAATGGTTCCACTTATTGTTCCTAACCGTGGTTTTCTAAAATCAGTCAATCGAGAGACGATGTGTTTATTTCATGAACAAATGGAGCAATGACAGCATTGACGTGACAATAGGGCAGGCGGCACTGCAGGCTCCTACATGATACATCTATAGTCAAAACGACATTTCGTATCAATGTGTCATCCGATCGGTCTTATCGCCATGAAAGCACACCCAGCATCCCATACGTGTGTAAGTACATGGACCAGATCACTCAAAACCCTGACATCAGACCCAAATGCCTCCCCGTCCTCCTACTTTTCTCGCATCAAGAGATCGGATCGCTCAAACGAAGAACCATCATACCAACATGCGCATAACCACCACCCTGTCACGACTTGCGACGAAACATGATCCGAGATGGGGGCACAGATACCTTCACATGTGTAAGATAGGTGACCAAATGTCACGCCTAGCATACCACACCCACACATAATACATAACTTGTACTCAAATGTACAGAAATGCCGTATACAGAAATACCGTACATCAGCGTGAACGACGCGACGGCGTGAACGTTTGAACTTCACATTTTAAAACAGATTCATTTTCCCCGAGTTTCATCTAGCTTTGTACCACACGCGCTGTGTAAATGGATTTCAGACCATTTCTTTAATGTACGCCATCACAATCTTCATATAATGCCAACACGACATGCAGATTCGACAATAACAAATGTATGGGCCTAATACCATCCAAATTTCAATATAATCCTTTTATCTAGTTGGTAGTTCAATCGTAATGTAATATAGTTTTAGCCACCACTTATCAACATTCCAGCAAAGCTACTATATCCATAAAGCTGCATATCCGTCACGCTGAAAGCACCGAGGCGTCTACTATTCTTGCTGCCTGCAGGACATTACTATCGAATACCAGGCCACACGGACCGCTGCTTTGTCTGACACCGGACAGCACAAGCTACCTACTGCCGTGCCGAGCACTGGGCGGGCCACTGGTGTGTCTGGCGGTCAGCACCACACCGCACCCCTCACAGTTTACCCTCCTTCAGTCGGATATCCTGTATGTGGAACATCGAGTCGTCCACCGGACCCATCACCGCCTTCCCGTCCACAAACGTCACACACTGGATCGGCCCGGCCGGCCGCGGCGGCTCCGGAGGCGGCGGCGGGCTTCGGCGGCGGCCCAGCAGGGCGCGCTTACCGGGCGGCACGTACAGACCCGCCTTCGATGTGCCCGGCTCCGCAGTCCCCCGCTCGGCCTCGGCGGTCGGAGAGGGACCGCCTGAGGGAGCCGGCTGCTGTCGGAGCAGCTCAGTGCTCTTCTGCGGAGAAGGAGGCAGCGGAGCGCGCACGGCCGCCTGGGGGACTGCCGGCGGGCCCTGTGGCGGCGGCGGCTGGCTGGTCACGGCCGCCGGCGCCACAGCAGCACCCACACTGCCCCGCGGGTCCGGCGGCGGCGCTCCGTAGGCCGCCGGTGGTCCCTGGGGAGCGCTCTGGGCCGCCGGAGGCCCCTGGGGAGCGCTGTGTACCAATGGCGAGTTGTGAGGGGCGCCGCGCACCTCCTGTAGCGACATCTGCTGAGACTGAGAGGACGCGTACGTCATAGACTGGCCATGCGGGGGCGAGCCGTAGGGCGGATGCTGCGCCTCCGCTTGGACGCACGACACTGGTGGCCCCTGAGATGGGGAGCCGTACGATACAGGCGGCCCCTGAGGCGGGGAGCCGTACGACACAGGCGGCCCCTGAGGCGGGGATCCGTACGGCACAGGCGGCCCCTGAGGCGGGGATCCGTACGATACAGGCGGCCTCTGGGACGGGGTGCCGTACGGCGGTTGAGAGCCGTATGATGGCACTCCGTACGACGGGGAGGCACCTGCGTAGGCAGACATGACGGGGGCGTCATGTGTCGCTGGCGGTATACGCACCGACGAGCTATGCGACATTGGGGTACCTGTGGCGTACTGCTGAGGAGCCGTGGCATATTGTTGTGGAGTCGTAACGTACTGCTGGGGAGCCGTTACGTACGACTGGGGGGTCGCCCCGTACTGCTGAGGAGCCGTGCCGTACTGTTGAGGAGCCGTTACGTACGACTGAGGAGTGGCGCCGTACTGAGGCGGCGCCACACCGTAACTCTGTGGCGGAGGAGCACCATAGGCGGAGGGTGTGGGGCCGTACTGCTCTGGGTACACAGACACCGGCTGCTGCACACCCAGCTGGGAGAGGTTCCTGGCCACGGCCAGCACCGCCTCTGGGTCACAGATGGCTGCTGGGGGCGCCTGTATCGGTGCCGGTGGCGGTGGGGGCGACTGCTGACCCTCGCCGGTCATCTCCCTGAGCAAGGCGCTGATCGGCGACACACTGCGTGGGCGCGGCTGAGGCGGATCGGGCGGAGGCTGAGGGCCGTCCCGAGAGCCCAAGCGCCGGTCCGGCTCCTCGTGGTAGCCGTTCGGAAGCTCGGCTTCCAGCAGATCCTCTGGTGAGATGTCCGAGCGCCTCCAACCACGCTCACTGCCGTCCGAGTCGTACTCTCGATCGCCGTCCTCGTCCGATAGATCGGCACTGAACTGGCCGCTCGATTCCTCGGTGGGCTCGGCTGGGTGCTCCTCCACCGCCGCCTCCGCCGCTGCGGCTGCTGCTGCCTCCGCCGCTGCGGCTGCTGCTGCCTCCTGCTCGGCGCGCAGACGGTTGCTGAACGCTGCCGCCCGTCTGCTCGCCGGTCCGGTCACCTTCACTTCTGCCGGCCCGGAGAGCGGTACGACCGTGCCGGACGGCAGGACAGTCTGACGGGACGGCGAAACGACTGGACCGGCCGGCGGAACAGACGGACCGGACAGTGGCGCAGACGGGGCTGGTTGGAGAGAAGCGGCCGCCGGCGGAACCGGGGCGGCCGTCGGCGGGACCGGGGCGGCCGCCGGCGGGACCGGGGCGGCCGCCGCCGGGACAGGGGCGGCCGCCGGCGGGGACGGTGTGCCACGCTCCTGGACGGGCTGCGCGTTCTCGGGCGCCGGGGAGGCAGGCACATGATCGAATTGGCACTCTGTTTCGGCGGCCTCGGAGGCGGACGGCGGCTGCTGCGGGGAGCGCCGGCCGGCCGGAGGGGAGTCGGGCTCGCCGGGCAGCGACTCCTCAGCTCGCTCCTTGTCCCGTTTACGGCCGCGGCCGCGTCGGCCTCCTGCGGGAACAGACCCAGCGTCAGACGGAGCGACACGGAGGAACAGCGCGGTCCGGGCATCAGGACAATGTTACGGGCTCAAGCGCAAAGAACTTGAGTCACTAGAGGAAGTGCAGTATTTTAGATTACCGTTATTAAACGAACATAGGGCAAACGATTTGCATCGCAAAACGAGCGTTTACAGTAGCCATTAGTAGCGTTCAATTGAGACAAAAAACGCTTATTTTCTCGGATTAGTCCCTTTCCGGTTATGTAAGTGCGCAGACCTCAGTTTTCACTCACTACCCCGGTGACCACGTACCTGTTTGGGGAGCCGCCGACCCCGTCCCCGCGGGGGTGCACCACACCACAGCTCTCTGCCACCAGCGGTTAGAGCAAGCTCGGAGAGACACCAACTCATGCAGGCATTGTGAGACAGGGGCCGGGTGCGGGCCCAAGCATGCGGGCCGTCCGTGGCGTGCCGTGCGAAATCCACAAAAAGCACTGCGCTGTGCTTTGGCTGTATTTGCATAAGGTTGATCAGCTCGATTATACATCACAGGTTAGGCGCTTACGAGTACATTCATCGCACACCAAACACATTCACAAATCAAAAGTACACTGAAAGCAAACTTAAACAAAATAAAGACAAATAAAAGGGCGAAAACAAAACATTTTAGAGCATTCCTTGAAACTGGACGGTTATTTAAACGCGCATTCCACGTTCAAATTTTTGAGGTTCAATAAAAAATAGCAAGTCCCAATCAAAACTACTGAAGGATCAATTTCAAACAGCTGAAGTAAAATTTTAGGATGATTGAGGCCAAAGTGAAGCCCACCTGCCACATCGTCAAACATTTAGGACACAATAAAAATGACAAATAGCGCATTAATACGGACGAAAAGCGCCACCCGCTTGCTTGGTCACGAATGGAAATAAAATCACCCGAAATAAAATGCTAATATCAATCACCTAACATTCATTTCAGTCGTGGTGTGATTACGAAGAGCCTTCCGGCTTCCACAACGAAGAAGCGGTTTACAAACGAGAGTTCTGAACGGGGGCACGGCTTGTCAGATGAACCAAAAAGGGTAGTGATCATTGCACAAGCATCCTTCCATTAATTCTAATACCGAGCATATTTCCAAAATGTTGTTAAAGAAAGCATGACAATATTACTCCAAGGGAAATAAATACCCGCACAATATACCCGAGTTCACTCGCTGGGGCGAGTCACAGTGAGGTATGTCGTGACAGCTACTACTTGGTCCACGCAAATATGACAAACATATTTACACTACGCTAATGATGATGCTCGGATCGGGCAGATATCAGATCATTGTTATGTACAGATTTTGCGACAAAGAAAATTGGTGAGTGATAGACTCTGGACTTTCCACCACCTTAGAACGAATGTCACAATATGTGAGGTAAAAAAACATGTCCCGTGATTTCGCCGCGCCCACAACCACGGGAGAACCAAACGCATGCTACCTGCACCGCGGTCACCACCCGCAGTCCCACAGCCCCAGCCGCGTCGGCAAGGCGGGGACATCACCAACCATGCGCGGACCCGGCAACCCGTCCCGCAGCACCGCCGCCTCAGCTGATGTAGGAACACGAATACGTGAACACCAAATCCCTGCCCTTCATGTCGACCGAGTAACACTCACTCCTGGAGTCCCGCTGGCCGCCCGCTGCGGCGCCTGCCGGCGGTCTCTCGGCGGCCGGCGGCCGGTGCAGCGCACCGCCGGTAACCGCCCCGGGCGGCGACCGCTGCCGCTGGGCCCGACCGTCCCCGCCGCCACCACCGCGGCGTGACTTCGGCTCCTCCCTGTGCGCAGCGCAACAGGTGAAATCACAGGTGAAAACACACAAACATCGCCACCGACAGCAGCTCAGCATTAGCTTACTGCGGGCAAGTGGGTTCATTTATGCCGTATATCACAAAATAAACGAGGAATGAAGCACAATAATGCATGTACTAAACATAACTCATAAATAACTCTCAGAATGCGTATCTTGCGCAGAGCGAGGCGCACCTTTGTGCATTTTCGACACCCACCTGAGCGCATTCGCTTGCTTCTCTCTATCCCATTCGCGCCGCCAGCCGCCGTCGCTGGCTTTGGAGCGTTCCACGCGGCGCTGGTCAATCTGCTGCCGCTCCAGCCGCCAGGCGGCGTCCTCCTTGCGCTGCTGTTGCTGCTGCTGGACGTTCTGCTGACGCCTGTCCCGCTCCCCGCGACCTCCCGCCGCGGGCCCGCCGCCTCGCTCGGGACAGTCGCGCGCCCGGTCGCGCAGGAAGCCGGCTCCGACGCGGTCGCGTCCGCCGCGCCGGCCAGCCTCGGGCTGCTCCTGTTGGGGCGAGGGGCTGCGCCGGTAGCGGACACACTTTGAGACGCGCGCCTCGTCACTGCCGGAGGCACGTGCCTGCTGCCGGTCCGCCTCCACCTCCTGCAGACACACCGGCGGACAGGGGGCGCATGGGTGACCTGGCCCTAGGCTATAGGCAGATCGGTTCAGCGGGTATGCGAACTAATTGGTAGTTAACTAAAAGGCAAATGTAGAAACGTACGAAATAAAAAGGAATAATTTCCCACGGGAAATTAGCAGTGAAGTAAAGTAACACCCTCATTTCTCAAAGTATTCTCGAAGTAAGGAAAATACTAAAAAAAAAAATGGGAAAAAAGATGGAAATGATATGCCTCACAAGTCAGATATCGCACACCGATTCTTTCAGAATCGTGACCTTCCGTTCCAAAAACACCTTTTGGATAAAGAGACTTTACAAATTAGTTTGCATATGAGCATGTCACTTTACTTGTGGCGGTAATGCACGTCCCAGGTAGGTACTAAGCTCACATGTTTCATTAAGCACACCTTGTATATAACAGTGTGTTTGACTTTCGGCAATATGAAACCCATACGTTCATTAGCGTCGCTACGGGGGGGGCAAGCGGGGCAGCTTGCCCCCCCAACCTCCGACCGGGCACCCCCTGAGATCGATACAGATCCGATGAGATTTTGGAGTCGGGAAAAAATGGGGGTACCTTTCTGAGGAATGCCTGTGAGGTCAGACTGTTGGAGCGTGCAGTTCAAACCAAAGTCAGAGTCGCACTCGCCAAAATCTTCAAGACTGCGACTCCATACTCGGAAATGTCAATGCTGTGATTCATTCCATGTTCCTAGTTGGTTCTTTATTACATTTTGTAGCTGATTTTCATAAGTTTTGGAGTGCTGACACATAATCTTCGTTCAAAGCGTGACACGAAATCTTCGGGGCCTTTCTCAACTCTCGTCAAATGTCTACGACAGGCTCAAGTACCGTTCAAGTGCCGCAGGGTTCATGAGCTTGGTTTTCACACAGGCTCCTAAGGAGCTCCACTGAGCTCTAGGAAGCTTTCGGAGGGCCCAAACCGGCCTCTGAGAGTCCCACTGGTGTCCTGAGGGCCCATACAGGGATCTTTGAGCACCTTATACATACGTAGACCTCTGAAAGGCCACACGAATCTTTGAGGATGCCTTCGAAAAATTTCTGAAAACCTCAACTGACCTCAGATAGTTCAGCTGAACTTTTGAGGCGGCAGACTTTATTAACCCCAAGCCGGCGGCGGCATCTGAGGTCACAACTCTCGTGTCCCTCTGAGGGCCGCAACACATGTTTCTTATGTCCCTACCTACGTAGGGTCCTTAAGGATTCGACACAGACCCCGACGTTTCACACTGTTATTCGAGGGCTCCAGGCTCACCCTGGGCCTAGTCTCTTAGCGCCCGCCGCCCACACAGGTTTCTGAAGACTCGTGTGCCCTAAAGGGCTTTCCGAGCCCACCTTGGGCTCGGAAAGCCCTAAAGCACCACATACACGTATATATTTGGGGTGACCCACGCCGATCTCCGGGATCCTAAGCAGGCTTCTGAGAGTCCACACTGACCCTGAGTGGCCTGAAATGGCCTGGAAGTCGCAAGCCTATCTCTAAGGGATCCCTTGCCGCTATGCAGCGCGTAACTTTTGGTCCCGTTAAATATTTTTGCTCGCGTTTGCAGTGCTTCCCTTCACACGAAAAACGAGAAAATTTTTGTTCACACTCGAGTGAACAAAACACTTCTTCTCACTGCAGCAAAGATGAATTATGTACTTCCGATTCACACTTCCGACATTCACTCTCAGTCTCCGCCGAATGCCCAATTCTTAGCTTCAATCGGCGGCTGGGATAAGCCCGATGCATTGCAGATCACCCTGGTTTTAGACAGGGTCCCACTGCAGTGCGTCGGCAATCGCATCCACTGTAATTCTACCGGTCGTTTTTGTCCATAAATTTTCAAAATTTTGTTGTTTTTTTTTTGCAAAAAAAAATCATGCCATAGCTAGAAGGAAAACTTTGCCACCATCGGATTCCTCGCACCATTGCTCGTCGAATGATATGTAAAACGAGTGAGTAACGGCTGGGGAAAGCCAAGATTTAACACAAAATTTGATTTTGCCCCCCCAACCGAAAATGTCTGGCGACGCCTATGCATACGTTGCTTGATTAACATGTCTTCGATCAGTGCAATACCTGTTTCCGTTGTTCACGAAGTCGGTTCTCCTCCTGGATTCGGCGGATTTTGGCGTCCAGGGCAGCTTCAGCGTCTTTCTAAAAAAGTCATTGATGTATATTAACAAATAGTTGTACAGTTAGTATTTGGAAAGACAGAACATGCAACAAAGATCGTCTACGTCACTGAGAAAGCACCTACCAGTCATCTGGAATGGCCGACCCACAAAACACACCTAGCTTATTTATGCGCGCCGGTACGTGCACCCGTGTATAAGTATTGAAGTCTCGACCAGGGGAGACAAGCTGACCTTTTTATATAAAGAATGATAAGACAATGAACATGTAATGTACAAACATACATCACACACTTGAGGCGAGGCCAGTATTACGCTTTCAGTTCATTTTTTCAGTGTGAACTTAAAAAACCCTATGTACAATTTTCGCCATAAGTAAATTTTGAACCCGAGCCCCGCTGGAGCTCCTGAATTTCCACGCCCTGCTGGGGGGGGGGGGGGTGATCATCCCCCTCTGAACACCCTGGCAGTTGATGCCTCCACATCCTTTTCTTTCAGATCCTATCCTGTCAAGATCCTGACATGAAATCCTGCTTTATAAATTGGCACCAAAAATGGTGTTACACTCTTTTCCTAGATTAACCCGTGCCCCGTTGGGCTCTGCCGACCAACGCGCCCTGTTGGGGGGGGGGGGGGCAATTTGGAAATAACTTGTAGTTCCTATCAGGGAACAACCTTGTGACCCAATTTTATTGACCTAGGTCAAACCGATGAAGTCACAGGTCAGGTCAAAGGTCGAATTTTCACCGTGTACAGTAGGCCCCGTCAAACTTTCTAAAGTTTTTGGAAGACCAGCTCCCCTGGTGTTTTCCCATTGCTTGTTGGCCCAATAAAAGGTATGCAAAATTTCAGCTTCCTAGCTCAACGTTTGCGTCTGCCTCAAAGGCCTCGAAGTTTGCCCCATAGGGCATAATGGAGACTGCAATGCCGGTGTTAGCTGCATTGTCCTGGCAGCGGCGTTCATTGGCACAATATCGCCACGAATCAACTGCTGCCCAAGCAAGAGATGAACCAAACTAGTCTTTGCCATGCCCCCCCCCACTCACACCCCTCCCCCTCCCTACCCCCTGATTTTGTAAGCATCGTTTGATTTCCATGCATTGTTCACGATCACTTTATCTTTTTTTTCAGGATGCCTAAATGCTGATTGAGACAAATATATTAGTACCTAGCTGTAACATGCATGTGCATATGTATATTAATTTCGACTTAATACTGCGGCGGCGGTAAACAGATAACTTCGAACGACAACAGCAGCAGGAGACCAATTGACGGCGGGCACGGCACTGGTGACGGTGACGGGTACCGGTGTCACCCACTATGGTCGAGTCTGCGTGTCCGGTGTCGTGGCTTACCTACAAGCACGAAGGTTCTCTTGCGCGGCTTTTTGGAAAACTCTGCAGTGCGGTCTAGGAGTGAACTCCGCAATTAAAAAAACTCGTCATTTCTTTCCATGCAACGGCATAATATGAGGATGCCTTTAGGGCCAAAGGGGGCGCCCCAAATTTAAAGGTACAGGACAATGGGCTTGACCTGAATGCCCGCGTATGCTGGATACGCCTCTGCTCTGGAGGCTGAGGGGCGCCATGTTTTTTTTCTTAATGGGGCGCCCAATCGCCTGTGATCTTTAATGGGGCGCGTGTTACGCTTTGCAGATCAGCATCCGTGGTGTTGACTTGTGTGCCGAGTGCTCTGCCCTCTGGAAGGGGCGCCATCGTTCAGAGGGGCGCCGAATGTTCTTGAGAGGTGCCAGTAATATTCAATGGGGGCGCCGGATGTTCTGGAGGGGCGTCAGTGATATTGAATGGTGCGCCAGATGCTCTGAATGGGACGCCAGCGATAATGAATGGGGCGCCCACTCGCCCGTGAACTTCAATGGGGTGCCTGATACGTGAGACGTGTCGGTGGTGTTGAATGGCGTGCCAAGTGACACCGGTACCCGTCACCGTCACCAGTGCCGTGTCCGCCGTCAATTGGTCTCCTGCTGCTGTTGTCGTTCGTAATTATCTGTTTGCCGCCGCCGCAGTATTGAGTCGAAAGTAATATACATATGCACATGCATGTTAAAGCTAGGTACTAATATATTAGTCTCAATCAGCATTTAGGCATCATGAAAAAAAAAACAGATAAAGTGATCGTGAACAATGCATGGAAATCAAACGATGCATTACAAAATCAGGGGGGTAGGGAGGGGGAGGGGTGTGAGTGGGGGGGGGGCATGGCAAAGACTAGTTTGGTTCATCTCTTGCTTGGGCAGCAGTTGATTCGTGGCGATATTGTGCCAATGAACGCCGCTGCCAGGACAATGCAGCTAACACCGGCATTGCAGTCTCCATTATGCCCTATGGGGCAAACTTCGAGGCCTTTGAGGCAGACGCAAACGTTGAGCTAGGAAGCTGAAATTTTGCATACTTCTTATTGGGCCAACAAGCAATGGGAAAACACCAGGGGAGCTGGTCTTCCAAAAACTTTATAAAATTTGACGGGGCATTTTTACAGGCATTTCAAGAAATGCGTTGTAAAATCGAGTAAAATGCATTTCATTGAAAATCATCGATGGGGAAATGTTCTTCAAACACATATTTTGCTATATGAGGTAACTGATACCAGGTCAGGTCACTGAGGTCAGGTCAATGAGGGTCACAATATGAAAATATCATGTGATGCATGTATTATGGTCCATTTTATGTCAAAGACGATTATGTGGGTCAGGCAGCCTTTGGGGTCAGTTTAGATTATGTTATGGTGAAGGTTAGGTCAAGGTCAGGTCAAATTAGGTCAAATTTCAAAGTCGATATTTTGCATAAAATGGGTATCGATTCGATGCAGCTCGTCACGGGGAGTTCAATGGTGTTCTTTGTTTTGCCCTACGTGGTCTAGAATCGCTAAAAATTGAGTTCCAAAATTTGACGTCATCATTTTTGAAGTTTTTTTTCGCTATAACTTGGCCAAAAAAAGAGATATCGATCTGAAATTTGGTATGTATATAGAAGAGCGCAGGGACCATCACATATATTCCGGTATTTTCGAAATTTGGAAAAATTGGATTTTTTTAGTTTTTCCAGAAAAATCAAGTTTTTGAATTTTCGGGGGTCAAAAACCCAAAATTTTGAAAATCCGAGATAGCAGTTTTGTAGCGCCGCTTTTGGTCTACCAGACCATATAAAGAACTTTGAAATTGCTTGGTAACTGTAGATTTGGTGAGCGTTTCAAGATTGCATGTTTTTTGCTCATTTTTGCTCGAACATGACCTCAGTTTGACCTCAATAACTCCTGACCTAAGGTGACCTGAGACTTGAAATTTGGTGTGGAGGTGTCAAACTGATGCCCGGGAAGGTACTGAAAATTTGGCGGTTTTCTTGCTATTCAGGAAAAACCATAGGGGGGCAAATTGCCCCCCCCCCCCCAACGGGGCGAGGGTTAATTGAGGCATTTGCCTCATTTTTTCATCCTAGGAACTTTTTCTTCATTGGGACACTCAACTAGATCCAATTTTAGAACACTGGTTGCCATAGAAATTATATGGTGCAGCTTTTGACTCTTTAATTTGATGTAGACTGATGTAAATTTGCAGCTTTCCACCCTGCTGCCATAGGTACTTTGAAGTCTTGTAGCCTGATCCAAATGGCTATTACTTCATAGTATGGCAATTAGAATATGCTGTTTTACTATTCAATCTCACTCTGTGCTTCATAGCAAATAGATATCAGAATCCACTTACCTCTCTTGCTTTAGCCATTCCAGGAGCCTGCTGTTTGGTGATAAAATATAGAAGTCCCTGAAATGAAGCACCCAGCTGTCAGTAACTTAACCTTCGCCCCAGTGGGGGGGGGGGCATATGTTACCACCCTGTCGCGTTTTTTGCGTGTGAATAAAAAACCGCGGCGCGTAGCGCCGCGCCGCTTGGGGTAGCTTTTGGTACATCAATTTTGGATAATGTGTGAAATTTTTGACCCCAGGTCATGTCAGGTCAGGTCACCAGGTCAAGTTAACTGACCAGGCCTAAAAAAAAGTTTGCAATCATGTCCAGCCTGCAGTGTTTGTCAGAAAGGTTTCAAACTCGGTGGATTGCATGCTGTTATGGGCGCCTACAATTTGTATATCTTGGATTTTTTATATCCGTGACCTAAGGTCAGGTCAGTGGCGTGACCTTTCCATTACAAGTCAATGGAGAAAAACGAAAATGCCTCTAGATCCGTGTGTACGCATCGGAACAGTCCAACTATTTCAGAATCACAATGATTTAGACCACTCGTGATGACCAAGGTGTCATTTTTGCTGATAGCCTCTAGACAGGTCATCCGAGGTCACTTGAGGCTACAAACAGTTTTTTTGCCAATAACTCGCGATTGGAAAGAGATAGGACGCTGGGGATGGTCTCATTGTGTTTGTCTTGTTGAGACGCATCGACTGATATGCAACATGACCTTTTCCGGTAAGGTCATGACCTTGACCTGAGGTCAAATTTTCAAGTTGACCTTTCAAGGTCAAATTATAGTTCATTCGACGCGTCTCGGCGAGGGGAACACGATTCTGGCAATAGAAATGTCGTGGCTTTTTGTAGTCGAAAGTTATTGTCGAAAACCACTTTTCGTAAAAACGGCTATTTTTGGAGTTTTTGCCCTCTGGAGGCTAAACCGTTGACCTGAGGTCAATATTGATAATGACTTTTTCAAAAGAAGAGTTCAAAAGCTATTGATTGCTCTTCCATGCGTTTTTCTAGCTACCATAGTTCATGAGATAGCGGCATGTTTTCTGAAAAATATAATGACAATTAGCAAATTTTGACCTTTGATGACCTCTGGTGACCCCAATATTGCTCTAAGGTGAAAAATGACCGAAATACTTTCAAACGGACGCATTGAGGGCTATCGACTGCTTTTTACCGCGTCTTTCTAGCCCTCTTAGTTTTTGAGTTAGAGGTGGGTGGTAACATATGCCCCCCCTCACTAGGGCGAAGTTGGCCGAGACCGCCACTGGGGCGCGGGTTAAAACAATTATTTTGGTTAAAACTAGCTTGATTAAGTTTTAAGACTAACTGTATCCAGCCTGAAATTCTAATGACATAAAATGCCAACTCAACTCATGAACTTAAAGGGGAAATAAAAATTAAGTAATTATAATGCCTCAGCAATCATCCTCACCATACAGGAAGCACAAGTTACTATGATCAGCTCTAAGACATATAGATTAATCTAGGTATATGAGCAGCACATTTGACATTGATATCCAATAGACCATAAGCTAACAGACCAAACGAAACTACCACACTGTTACTGTTCTTAGCTCATGCGACGAGAGCTAAAGCTGGGAGCAGAGGGGAAGTTGACTGTGCCTGGCCACCATAATGGGCCCACATCTTCATGTCTTGTACACTGGCGGATCCAGAAAGGTGGTCTCGGATGTTGCAGAGGCATCAAATAAAAAATGTTATTTTTTAATTTTAATATTCCTCTCAGTCAGATCGCCCAACTGGATTGCTGGATCAGACCGCAGCGGGTAGAGGTCGGGGTCTACACAACAGGCTCTACTTAGTGTCGGCTCCGGCTCTGTCAAACTGCCCATTCAAACATTCGAGCTAAATTAAAAAAAAAATGAAAAAAAAATAATCAAAAGTTGCCTCCTTTGTCTTCGACTTTGTTGACTTATGTGCAGTTTAATTAAAATACTTAATTTTCCTTATGAAAGTTACTGAGTTCATTAGCGTCGCCACGGGGGGGCAAGCGGGGCAGCTTGCCCCCCCAACCTCGGACCGGGCACCCCTTGAGATCGATACAGATCCGATGAGATTTTTGAGTCGGGAAAAAATGGGGGTACCTTTCTGAGAATGCCTGTGAGGTCAGACTCGTTCAAGCCAGAGTCGGACTCGCAGTCGCCAACATCGTCAAGACGCCGACTCCAGACTCGGAAATGTCAATACTGTGATTCATTTCATGTTCCTAGTTAGTTCTTTATTACATTTTATAGCTGATTTTCATAAGTTTTGAAATGCTGATACAAAATTTGCGTTCAAAGCGTGACACTAAATCTTCGGGCCTTTTTCAACTCTCGTCAAATGTCTGCGACAGACTCAAGTACCGTTCAAGTGCCACAGGGCTCATGACTGCTTGCATTTCACACAGGCTCCGAAGGAGCTCCACTGAGCTCTAAGAAGCCTTCGGAGGGCCCAAACCGGCCTCTGAGAGTCCCACTGGTGTTCATATTCTCTGAGAGCCCATACAGGGATCTTTGAGGACCTTACACATGCGTAGACCTCTGAAGGGCCACACGGATCTTTGAGGATAGGTACTTTCAAAAATTTCTGAGAACCTTAGGCCTCTGATGGCTCAGCCGAGCTTTTGAGGCGAGAGATTTTGCTGAGCCCAAGCCGGCAGTTTAGGGGTCACGACTCAGGTGTGCCTCAGAGGGTCCCAGCACATGTTTCTTATGTCCCTATGTTGGGTCCTTAGGGACTCGACACAGACCTCCAGGGTTCACACTGCTATTTGAGGGCTCCCTGCTCACCCTGGGCCTGGTCTCTTAGCGCCCGCCGCCCAAACTGGCTTCTGAGGGTCCCACATTGGGCTCGGAAAGCCCTAAAGCACCACATACACGTAACTATTTGGGGTGACCAACGCCGATCTTCAGGACCCTAAGCAGGCTTCTGAGAGCCCACACTGACCCTGAGTGGCCTAAAATGGTCTGAAAGTCCCAAGCCTATCGCTAAAGGATCCCTTGCCGCTATGCCGTGCGAAATTTGGGTTCCGTTAAACATCTTTTCTTCGCATTTGCAGCGCTTCCTTGCACACGAAAAACGAGAAACATTTTGTTCACACTCTCGTGTGAACAAAACACCTCCTCTCACTGGAGCAAAGATGAATTACTTCCGATTCACACTTCCTACATTCACTCTCCGCCGAAAGCCCAACTTAGCTTCAATCGGCGGCTGGGATAAGCCCTATGAATTTCACGTAGAACCTCTGCATGCATGCGTGAATGAAGGTTTCAGCAATGTGATTCGATTAAACTGAGCGTTTTTAACCTCTTTTCCTGGGTGATGATCATGAGCGACGAGCGTCTGCACAGGGGCTCTCTAGAGTGCGTCGGTAAGCGCAGCCATTGTGATTCTACCGATCGTTTTTTTTTTGTTCAAAAATTTAAAAAATTGAATTTTCTGTAAAAAAAAATGGCAGGTCATAGCTACAAGGAAAACCTTGTCACCATCGTATTCCTCGCACCATTGCGCGTTGAATGATACGTAAAATGAATGAGTAATGACTGGAGGAAGGCAAGATTTAACACAAAAGTTGATTTTGCCCCCCCAACCGAAAATCTCTGGCGACGCCTATGACTGAGTTGTTTGTTTATTCACAAAAAAACGCAACTTTGACTTACGTCGATTGCGGGCGCTGCGGGGCCGGCGGGGGGCATCCCCCCTAGGTGCCCTTAGGTTACCAAACTCGGACGACCGACTATCAATATAAAAGCTATAGATGGCCTTGATAAAAGCATGGAACTTACCCTCCGGGATATATCTTTCAAAGAAATTCCGAAACTCCACACACCCTCTCAGAGCTGGAGCGTCTTTCCGGTGCAAAAGGACGACGCGTCAAGGATTCAGTAATTATGTGCTGGTTCCGTCTAAAACGCAGCAACTAATTAGGGAGCAACTAACTTGAAGAATAACTCATTAAGTATTGTTAAGACCCTTAATTTGCTCAAATTTTGGCTTTGAAACGACGCAAAAATGTATTTAGAATTACAGAAATATTTATGTTATAATTTCCATATCTAACTAAGTTTAAACATTGCTTATAAACTTGACAGTAACATACAAATTTAGCTGTAAGTTAATGGACAGAAAAACTTGCAAAAGTAGACAAAAAACAGCGCAAAAGAGTCAAAACTTCTGTTCAAAATTTTTTTAGCAGCAAATCACCTAGAAACTTGCTGGTAATTGGCCATAATGGTAGCAAATCGCCACGCAACCAACACATTTAGCTAATAAATGCTGACGAGCCCAAGTCATTGAACAGAATGATGTTTATACGTATTTCCCCGGCTTTGAACTTTCTTCTGTTGCTGCGAGTTGGGGCTCTCTCTATCGTCTGGATAAAAATAGGCCCCGCCCATCCCAATCAGCTGCTGCATGACGAGTTGATGACGACAACCACTACTTACCAGCAACCAATCTAGGGATAGCGTACGTGACAGTAATGGTGCAGCGGTTGCAAAATATTGCATTGTTATTCAAACGGTTTTTGCTTTTTGATTGTGATTGTATTGAGATATGTGATTAGATGAGGTGTTGTTGAAGGCAGGTATTTTTTTAAATATTTTTTGACAATTTTTTGCCCCCTTGTGCTGAACCCGGGACCACCTGAAGTCTAAACCTCATTTTATATAACATGTCAATGCTGATGCTGTCCAGCTCAGAGTTTTTTTTGGGGGGGGGGGGGGCAAACCAAAACAATTTATCGATTCTTTCCATGCATCGTCCATAGGCGTAATGTTAAAATTATGCCGTTTGGGGGGGGCAAATGCCTATTTTGCCCCCCCTGGATCCGCCACTGACTGCTCCGATCCTGGTCATGCAACCAACGTTCATGGGTGGTGTTTCACGGCAGAGCACTGCAGTGCGCTGCGTGTGTCAGAGCATTGGGTTGCCATGGCAGTGTCAACAAAGTTCACTGTGACGCTAAGCTATATGACAGCATCCCAGAACGCTAGCACGCTGCGGTACCAGCACCAGCAGCATGCTAGCAGTATTTGAACTCAAACCTCTGTTCTTGGTACGGTTTTTCAGAACATCTCACTCTGTTCCAAACGCGATTCATCATAAACTAAGAGATCACATGCAACGTCATTTGAGTGATGCTATGGTATGCCGTAGCTACCAGTGCACACAGTGTCTGGATGGTGAAACAGGGCCATTATTAATCACATTTGCTTTGCTTTGTTTCAGCAGAAACCTGTCTGCACATGGGAGGAGCGCAACAAAAGCCCATCAAGTTCATGCATGGCAGTGGATCTCAACAGCAGAAAACCAGAAAGAACATGGATGCTTGTAGATTGCAGTTGTACACTGCTGTTATCACGTGATGTGTGTGGCTGGCATTGCTCCTGGCAAGAACCACCTGCAAGTGATGAGATGGTGCCTCAGTCGTTGAGTGTGCTGCAGTGTGAGAGGCGCCCTGATCTCTACTTTGTGATGGGTTTCCATTGGAAGTTCAACTGAGAAGTGAGAAGTGACTGTGACCATGCTCGAGCATGCCAGTGGAGCTTTACATGCTTAGGGCAGCTTTTGAACAGATGCTGACCATGGCATGTCCCATCCAGTTATCACGTGCATAGAATGGTGGGGGGAGGGCAACTCTGGTTGAGTCAGCCCTACTGCGCTGGGGGTACAGATGGCCGCTTACGTTTGGTGTGTCCTGCACTGCATTATCAAGCCCAGTCTGCTGCCACAGGCAATGGATCGGGCTGCACTATATTAAAGGCAGACTACCTTGCAAAAGAGGCTGGCATCCTCTCCCATAATGACACACCAATTGGCAATCATCGCTGCGATGATCACGAGGGTGTCCGCTTATCTAACATGGTGAGGTGGAGAGCCAGCTCAAGCTGGCCTGAGGGATGGTTTTACTTCATCTGAGGCCCCCTTTCCCCGCCTGCCAGGTCCGGTCAAACGACCGCTTCACAGTGAACGACTTGCAGTGGATGCCGTCCCACAGCGCAACGAGCGCGCCGACCAGAGGCGGCGGCCAAGAGGCGGCCGCGCTCCCCCAGTCGACGGTCCCGGTGGACGTCGGCAACGCCCACCGCGCGACCATCAGATCGGCTCGCGACCGCGCCGTCGCCGACTGACCGCATGACTGGTATCTGTTCTTGATGTGGGACCGACTGCCACCGCCGGTCGCGGAAGGGCATCGCTCATCGGCCATCGACGTTCACCAGCTTCGCGTGGGTCACTGTTCGGGCTGCCACCAATACACCGAATCGGATGGAACCCTGTCGGCGAATGCCGGCGGTGCCCCGACATCGACTGCGCGGCGGCCAGTGCATCGCGTGCCGGGAGGAGGCTGGCACCCCCGATCGGTCATTGGTCACAAACCGTGTCCCAGCTCATGACTGCATCCAGCGCAGCTCTGTGCGATGTTCTGCTGCAGTCTGCCGCGTGTGTTGAAAGAAGAATGAACACGAGAAAACCTCAAAACTTTATGCCTATTAGTATTTGACCAGTATTGGAATAAGTTTGGATTTTGAGAATTTGTGTCCCTGTGCTTGTGCCTGTGTGGAAAGGCATGCTTTACGGTGTACCATCTCAATTTGTGCGGCTGCTGACAAGCCACCTGGGTGCCAACGTATGTGCGAATCCGCGAATACGTTGTGTTTCGTCAGTCGGTATCGTTCTGAAAATATTGACTGCAATAGGCTATATAGCGTATGACGGTTCAGCCCAGCAGTAATAACTGACCATTGATTGGGCGAATTTTGTGTGGTGGTTCGCTAATACATAACCTAAAGAGTGTTTTGCCGGAATTGTTTAGTAGCAGAACTGACCGGAATATAAGTAGAATGCAACGGTTTGAATCGTTAATTTGTTGAAACGATTGTTCTCTGAGACCACTGTGTAACTTTTGACCTGAGAATCACCAATTATAACGACAATGGTGGAAGCAGTAGGCACTGTAGAGTGTAGGCAGCACTATATAGTTGGCACGCTTACGCAAGCACACGACTTACGCAGTGGACATCTGCATCATGCATGTTAAGGTTTACTGGGAAGAGTGAGAAATTAGTCAAGGCGATATTTCCAATTGAGCTGGGGATAATTCATTCTCGTTATGCAGCTGTGTAAAAGGGCGTCGCTTTTTTCTTGGGTGAGACCTTCCCCATTGGCCATTTCCAAGCTAAATCGTGGTGGAGAGTCTGGAGACCTCAGCCTCGGTAGTCGGTACCCTGCGCGCTGCGCCACCTTGCGAAACATAAAGCAGCAGTCCTGACATCTACAGGCGTTACTTTTCATGAAAGCGTGGATGTGTTCGCGCTTATGCGAAGAAAATTCTTCCGAGTATGGTTGATAATGAGATTAATTGTTGTCATTTATTTATTAATTCATTGGCAAAAGTACCCTAATAAATCGGTAAAGTAGCTTAAACTGTATCGTATTTCCTTGAGAAAAAATGACGAACTCATCCTAAGACATCCAGATTATTGGATGCGTTCGTCAGTTGTAAGTAGTTCAAGTTTTTGGAAAAAGTTGCTTGTGGAAAATCATAATATTTCAAAGATATGCCTATTTTCGAATAGTTTATGCATTTATCTGCATTGAAAAATGATTGTAAAGCAAAAGTGCAAACGATTGTTGTCAATTTATTCTCTCAAATCACTATTTACGAACGCACAAAACTCCAGCTTTTAATTTAGTGCGTGTGCGAATTGCGGTCAGGAAAAAAGATTTAAACTGTCTATATTCCTCTTAAAACAATGAAGGATGAATGAGAAAAACGCTGTTTTGAACAATTGTATGTTTATTTTTTCTCAATTAAGCAAAAAACCAAAATTTTCAACTATTATTACATTTGCTCTCACAAAACCCATCACTTTTAAGCATGACGTCATGTCAGCCAAACTTACTAGCGCCATCTCTGGAGAGCATCTTTCGAAACCTCCAGACGATAGAGAGAGCCCGAGTTGGCTGCGAGCGTCGTGGCGGAAGAGAAAGAAAAGCCGAATTTTCGATTGGCTGTGTTAAATATTGCAAAATGACTTTTTATCATTTTGTTAACTGTTTTGCTTTGGCATATGTGCCACATTTCTTCACGTACAAATACTCAAAACTGTGAGTGGAATAAAGTATTGTGCCTTGGGTGTGCCGAACCATTACACCGTGACCCGGGCGTTCCGCCACCGTGGGGCCGCGGGTGCCTACCTACTTTGGTACCTACTGCCTCCAGTTAATTAGTTTTTGTATGTTTGAGGGTGTGCATTTTGGTGTCAAATCCCCAATGCTAAAACAGATTAAAATAGAGGCAGAACCCCTTAAACTACAAAAAAATGAGTATTAGAATGATTTTATACATTGCTCCGCCAGTTTTTGTGGCACCAGGTGACATCTGCTCTACTAATGCCAACTTCTGGCCCATGCAGATTATGTTGTACTAAATATGTACCTACCACATGATGGTGAATCATTAGGGTGCCTTGCATTGCACCAGCTTAGTACCCTGGCACTGACAAGTGACAAGACCTCATTGGAATAGTCACATTTTGCAGTCTGACCTTGTTCTACTGTTGAATCTGTATCTTGAGCATGTCATATTTGTGTTGCTTAGCAGTGTTGAATCATATGATGATGCTCATTCCTGTGTTATCATTTTGCCTGTCAGGTCCGAGTATGGCGCTTTCTGGAAGTGTGTCCAGGCCGGGTTCACCTATGTGTTTGTCCAGCTGTGCAAGATGGTCCTGCTGGCGACCTTCTTCCCGGCTGCCGAGAGCACCCCAGACCAAGGGGTGGACCTGCTGGCAGTGAGTAGGGACAATGTTCACTCTTGTGCCTTGAGATATTCTATGCTTTGTGACAGGTGAGTTGGAGTAGGAAAATGAAGGCACAACTAGTGCACTTGGTTGAATTTGCTGTAAATGATTTGCAAACATACCTTTTCTGTGCATATTGTAGCCTGGGTGAACTTCAGGACTAGCAAATTGTATAAGTCACCTTTTCATTGTTTATGAAAGTCAAGATGCTCTTGATGAACCCAGTGGTGGATCCATGGGAGTGCAAAAAGGGCAATTGGCCCTCCCAAACAGCAACATTCTAACATTACAACTATATACAGTGCATGGAAAGAACCATTAAATTGTTATTGTTTGCCCCTCCCAAAACTCCGAGTTGGATCTGTCTGTGGATGAACCCAAGTGCTTCTGCCTTCTGATATTGCAAAGGTGCCAGAAGAAGTGTAGGGGAAATTGTAAGTGAGCAAGAAATTTTATGTCAGCTACCTATCGATATGAGCAATGAGCTGGAGCACTGTGTTCTATTTTGCTGCAGGAGCTGCTGAAAACGTCCGTCGACATCGGCGATTTGCTGGGCATCCATCTGGTGATGTCACGGGTAGCAGCTCGTGGAGATGTCAAGGTAAGAACTCAAATGTCAAGGTTATAGCCACCACTTTCTCGAGGCTTAGATTCTCGTTTGGTAACTGCCAACTGGGAAGGGTAGTCACATTATTGTACAAAATTTACAATCGTTTTACATCGAACCGTTCTTTTTTTGTAGTACCCTATGTGACGGATGTCATTTGCAAGGGAAGTGTAGTATTCAGTTGGATATGCGATACATTTCACTCAAAATATAAGGTGTAGAACACAGCGATCTGGTTGTGACTTGTGAACATGGTCAAACTGATTGCTGACGGGGTATCATCGCCGTGGTGATGCGCCGTGTACCCTGCACTCTGCAGTGCGCTACTCGATCCAACCATCCCCTCACTGTCCGCTGATGACCTCCCGCGGCGACCAGGTGCTGGTGGCTGGCGTCGGCTGGTCCACGGCCGAGCTCATCCTGACGCGCGTGCTGCCCCTCTGGGTCGGCGCGCGTGGCATCGAGTTCAGCTGGCGCTACCTCCAGATGAGCCTGGACGCCAACATCAGTCTGGTGAGAAATAGCGGTAGCCGATCAGTGGTTTTCTCGTTACAGGTGGTGGCTGCTGATTAAATGCATAGCCCGTAGCTACAATGCCTTTTATTCGGACTTTTACAGCGTATTTGCCCCATTCAACTCTCACATTCCATGTGAATGTTACGTCCAAGTTCCAACGATCGAGTCACACTCGTACAGTTTTATTACTTGGCCTTGTCTTGCACCGCCCGTATTTTCGTGTATAATCACTTCGTTACGTTTCCTGTACCCGCTCGTGGTGTTTCATGGTATGAGTGATCCCAGCTGACCTCTCTCCTTGTCAGTTGACCCCAGTCCCTGTGCGTGACTATCCCCAGTTGACCCGGTCCCTCTGCACGACTGTCCCTAGTTGAGCGCGCCCCTCTCCGCGTTGCCAGGTGCACTACCTGTCCGTGTCGGCGCTGGTGTGGCTGTGGTCGCGGCACGACCTGGCCCGCTCGTTCCTGCCGCTGGTTGTGTCGCTGCTGGTGGTGTCGGTGCTGCAGCCGGTGCTGCTGCACCTGGCCGCCGCCGCCGGACTGGCCGCCTCGCTGCGGCTGCTGGCGCGCGCCGCCATGGACACCGTGGTGGCCGCCGTCACCCTGCAGCTCTTCTCCGGCCTCCTGCGTGAATCCTACTGAGGGGTACACGACAGCGGCCCGCTCCTGTGAGACTCCTACGCAGGAGACACGCGGGAATGGCCGCCTCCTGCCAACTGCTGCTGAGTACGTGACGGCGGTCAATCGCGGTCTCGGCACACCTTCGAAGCGAGATCTCCCAGTGCGCGATGTGATGTTGCCGTTGTTGCTGAGAAAGAGAAAGCGGCAGTCTCGGAAATGGCCGTCTGAGCAGTCGGGACGTGCCGTCAACCTCAGCGGTATGCGACAGGGAACATCGCTGAGACGGTAGGTACTTCAATCAATATTTCCATGGCATTGCTATTTAACACCGGGCATGTCTACCGTCCAGCGATGGCTCTGTTGCTCACGCAAGAAACCCAGGAAAGTCGAAGTCACCGTAACTGTATAGGTGTGTGTTCCCGTAGAATCCCGTATATCCGAAAATGTATTCATTGTTATGTGTAAGAGTTTTTGTTCACCTACCGTTTCCGCTCACATTCAGACAAAAACTTGCCAAAGCAAGCATCCACGTAAATCGTAATCCTGGCGATGACCATGAACGAGAATTACAGTTGGTACCAAGTTGGTACTTCCACACAGCGTTTTGATAATTCTGCGATCAGTTAGTTTGTACATTTTATTTTACTAGTAAAGATGTGAGGCGTATATGTACAGTCCACAGCAGAAGTAATGTGGGGTTTCAGTCATGGGTAGGTTCTGCTTCTGAAGCTTAGGAACGATTGACCAGACTGCAATGAAATTTTGAATGTAGCTTGTATGTATCGTCACCCTTGCAGCTGCAACTTAAGCTATTGACACCTTCTTTTCGATCACTCCGCATTAAACAATCGCCAGTCAAAGCCAACCGTTGAGATTAGTAAAACCCTACATTACTTTAGCGGTGGGCTGTACATACGGTTCAGTGTCCGCATGAGCGTTACGAATGGGAGTTGGTGGGCCTTCGTCGCGAGTGTGAACGTCAGAGTCGTTTGGTTGGGCGGTATAAAAGCAATATACGTTCGTTTTGTGCGCTATGGCTCTATCATTCTCGATAAGGCGAACGATGCTACTCTCTGTTCCGTCCAGGGCATCTACGCATGCGTATATATACAACCATTCGGAGCGTCATTCAAATCACATCCTGCAATAGCTGTGAATCACATCAAGCAATAACCATAAGTTAACAAATACCCGTTAGGCATAAAATATATTCTGAATAAGGAAAACAAAATGCACAGGTTGGCCCGTCAACACAAGAATATAGTCCCGTCCCGGTGAGTTGGAAGGCTCTGGCTGATCACGAGGCGGCGGCTCCGTCCGTCTTCTCCTTGTACTTGACCACGCCCCTCTGGATCATCTCTGGAATCTCCACCGCCAGCCACGGCCCCAGCTGCGGAGAAAGGGCGGTCACTGAATCCCGTTATCCAGTAACAATCACAACTAGAACAATTATAATTGTGCTGCAACGATCGTTATCGACGTCAAAGGTTGACGAATAGGTATTTTGTTGTATAACTTATGATATTGTACGGTTCACATTTCGAGATTCATTTCTATCGAAAGGAAGTCGCATATGTGAAGATCATGGGTGAACGTACGCTTGATCGTACGACATGGATGCTGTCGTTTGAATCGGGAATGTTTTCCACACCAATTGAACACAAATTATTTGCGTACTTTTCCGCATACTTGTTTAATGTTTTCAGTTGAAACTATTACTTGAAACTACTTTTCAACGACAATTATCTATGTTTGCAGTTGCAGTTGCATAGCAGTTGAAACTGCTATGAGATGAACGACCGAGACCAGTGTGACTTACTCCGAGTGCCATGGCGTGGGCGATGCCAAACTTGGGCACGTTTCTGCCCCACAGGGGCTTGAAGTGATCGCTGAGGCAGATTTTCCCGCCTCGGTACATTTTGGCCGTCTTTCCGTCCAGCTCCGGTAGTGCGATCTCCGGCGAAGTCGCCGGGTACGTCACAGGTATCTGAGGAGGGCAGACAGGACATCATGAGTGCACCTGTGGAAACATTACTACTTACACCAGGCAGTACGTTGTGCACTGAGTTGTCAGACAGTGGTGTGTTATCAATGAAATGCTAACCAAATTATAGATTATTAATTGAGTGGCAGGAAATGACTGCCTAAACTGAAAATCATATAGAGCATAGCAATGCAAATGTGATCAATGGCGGAAAGGGACGCATGCAGTTAATCATTAGTTTATAATGCATTGTATTTGCCTAGCTTCTGAGATACTCACATCAAACTCGACCTCAAATTCATACTTCAAGAGCTCATGGACGAACCAGCACTTCCCGAACCACCTGGTTCCTTCTTTGTTGGATTCTAGCCTAAACCAGTCATTATCTTGCTCCTTATTATTCTGTACATACTGAAATATAGATTGCAACAAGGTCAAAGGTCACACAGAAATATTCATTGCATGCAACAATCAATCCTGCTTTGCATTGCATTGTGTCGGACTCGGTACCTACCTACTGTAATTTGAAATATAAGGATAAAAACAGCAGTTATGTGCCTCAACATATTGTCAAAAACCAAGTCAAGCATTTTATTGAATTAATGCTATCTACACAATCATGCATACTATCCTAAAAACAAAATATAGCTTAGCATATGGCTTCACGTCACATGACTTTCTCCAAAATTCCAGCGTGGCTTACCTTGATAAGTGCTTGATACTCTTCCTTTAGACGGGTTACCCAAAGGTCTTTATCCCTTGGGCCTGCTTTTGTTTTAAGGAGAGGAATCGCACTTAGCTCTTTCTTGGTATTTGCGTCCACCATCGTTATTTACTTGAAACAGTGCTGCCAGATGGGGAAGGCTGTAATCCTCTATATCAGTTACAAAAATCCTCCAGATTCCTCCAAATCCTATTGGTAGATATAGAAAGGCGGTCTTGGACGCTGCGGGGGGCTATACCCCCAAAAAAGTTTCACCAAATACTAAAAACCCATCGGATTTCGAATCTTTTCGCACTGCTGTGCAGTTTAATAGATACTTTTTCTTATAAAAGTTGTTGAGTTTTCGTTTTATCTTAAAAAAACGAAAATTTTCGTCGATTTCAGGCGCTGCAGGGGGGCCGGGGGCATTTGCCCCAAATGTCCCCCTTAGATCCGCCAGTAGTTTGGTACCCTCGTAAATATAGCTACAGACTGAGACATTTTGCAGTCTCACGGTGATAAAGGACGTGATATATCCTAACGGGTAGGGTGACGCTGGGCAGGAAAATGCCTTTTTAGTCTTGAATGTGTTATATTTTTCCATGAAATTGAATATAATAATCGGGCGACAAATCCTCCAGATTTTCCTCCAGAATCAAAAATCCTCCAAAAGCGAAATTTGTCCGCAAATAGAGTTCAAAATCCTCCAGATTTGCGGAAATCCTCCAAGTCTGGCAGCACTGACTTGAAACGACACCCTCCAAGTTCAGCGTCAGGATTTTCAAGTCAACTCCACCGTGAATATCTATCAACACATGGGAGTATTCGATTTCATTCTCTTATTTGGTAGTCAAAGTGATTGTTTGTGGTTGATTGGTAAGTTTCTGCGAGCTTTGAAAATATTACATCATCTAAAAGCTGCTTATGCTTTTCTGAACAGTCGTTGATGCATTCGTGGCTGTTTCATAAATGAATGTTGAGAGACAAAATCGGTGGTTGTGTTGTATCTTGTATTCGGCTGGCGCGAGAGAAGATGGAGGATATTTAATTTGATTTTACCTTTTTTCGTGGAATAATGTGAGAAATATATTTTTCCAAACTTTCCAGCTGCATTGAGGAAAAGAATGGCCGCCAGTTTGAGGGAAAAGCAAGTTGGTAAGTGACAATTCATGCCAATGCTGATGCCCTTGCTTGATGTTAAGGCTTGAGACTTCAGAGCTGATTTTTGTGTAATAGGCAACTTTTGATTAAAATTAAAACAGCTAAATACTTTTCATAGGGTTGATGGTTCCATGATATTCAAATTTGTAATCTTCCAGTTAAGCACGAGGTGCTAGTCGCTAGGAAGGTACCCAGGCTCTGCCTATAGGCTGAAACATTTCACAATCAGGAAATTGCATGCGAGAGCCTATACAAATGCATTTACTTGCTGCTGCATCAATTTTATTGGCTAATTGCATATATCATTGACATGAGTGTGATTTATAAATCACTATAGGCTCTTGCAGTCTTGCATACGATTTCCTGACTGCGGAAAGGTGTGAAACCCCTAACACCTGATATTGATAGGTGAAGGAATATTTTGCAATGCCTATAAAATGTGTTTCCAGTTCACTCATGACTCACTGTGCGAAGCTTCAGTCTGTGTGGACATGTTGACTAGTTCCCTGTATACTTCCCAGATCCTACATTGACCATTAACTGTTGATGCATCTGAAGTGAAAAACTTGTCTTGCAGTGGCCATCAAGAAGATTTTAAATCTGAATGCACCTCTGGTGAATTCCTCCACAACAGAGCCTGTCTGGAAAGTACTGGTCTATGACAAATATGGTCAAGATGTCATCTCACCTGTTCTGGCTGTCAAGGAGCTTCGGGACCTGGGAGTCACACTGCACATGTGAGTGGCATAATTGTCATCAAAGTCACCAGAGAAGCACATTGAGCTGTTCTCTCCAGTGTACAGGCTGGCTCACCCACCCCTCCCCACCCTCACTCTGATCCCCCTCACCTCTGACAGGCCTCTGCACGCCGTCCGTAACACCGTGCCGGACGCGCCGGCCATCTACCTGTGTGTGCCCAGCGACGACAACCTGAGACGCATCTGCCAGGACCTGGCCGACAATGTGTACGACTCCTACTACTTCAACTTCCTGGCGCCGATCTCGCGTCAGAAGCTGGAGCTGCTGGCCACCGCCGCTCTGCAGGCAAACTGCGCAGCCTCCATAAAAAAGGTTACGGCGATTAACGAACTACGACGTTCTTATGAGGAATTCGAACAAAAATACTTCACGAAATAAAATAAATGCACCAACCTATTTGAACCACCTACACAATCCATTGAGTATGTGATCATTTTCTGGATCAATGTTATTTTTCCAACTTAACAGATGACCCTGAATACATTTGAATACCGGTTTATACACTGGGTTTTAGTTGAACACATTTTTGCCTGGTACTGTATTTCGCAGATTTAGGTATGTCTGTTGTAGTTACGGTATCTGCCGATCGCCAACTGAACGCACAGCCGGTCGTCATCGATGGCTCTCCTTGACGTAATGACTGCCGTTCCCAGGTGTTCGACCAGTACGTCCACTTTATCTCACTGGAGAAGGACATGTTTGTGCTCAGACATCATGACAATGAGACGACGTCGTACTACGGTAAGCTGATACAGGAACCATCTACCGCTATATCTTGTCTTTTATCAACTGATTTTCCTCGAATATTGGTGAACACATGTATCCTTTCCAGCGCTAAATCGAGGTGACGTGAAAGATACCGAGATGGACGTCATGATCAACAGCATGGTGGACAGCTTGTTTGCTGTCTGCGTCACACTAGGTAAGCGTCTCAAAACTAGATCGCCAACGAATCACGGTTCAACATGATAAACAATTGCCATTGCGACTGCAGCTTTCATCAATATTATTCGTACGATCCAGAGTGAGAACGACCTTCGCTGTTACGCGAGCGGTCAAGGCCGCTCCTGTGACAGCGCTCCTTGTGGCCAAGTCCCGCAAATATGAACCATATGCATGTGATCCATTGACGCTACACTCATTTAAGAACTTATTCTCTTTATATGGGGTGATCATGTGATGACTCTGAACACGTTTGTTGGCCCTGACCCCGTGTCCCCGACCCAGGCACGGTGCCAATTATCCGATGTCCGCGCAACAACGCCGCCGAGATGGTGGCCGAGCGGCTGGACCGCCGGCTGCGGGAGAACGTGCGTGACGCGCGCAGCTCGCTGTTCAGCGGCGAGACGCTGGCCGGCGGACAGTACGCCTTCCAGCGGCCGCTGCTAGTGGTGCTCGACCGAAACATGGACCTGGCCACGCCACTGCACCACACATGGACCTACCAGGTGCGGAGGCGAGGGCGTGGTAATTGCGGTGCTTATAGTCGGACTCGAAACCAGATAGCAGGCGATGCTTCAGTTTTTCTCATATATGCCCCATCCTTACGATATCGAGTGCGGGAACATTATTTGTAACACGTCTTTTTGTTGGCTTCACTAGTCGTAAACGGGCTTCTGGAAGAATCACAGCGATATCGGCTGTTTCACTGTCGAGGCAACCTATGTATGCATGTTTCACGGATCCTCATATTGCCAGCCTCCAGTCATACCCTGTGTAACAACCCCATCTAGCAACAATCTGACGGTCTTCCCCGCTTTTGCCGCTCAGGCGCTGGCGCATGACGTGCTCGACCTGCGGCTGAACCGTGTCACCGTCGAGGAGACGGTCGGCGAGGACGAGCGGCGACAGACCAAGACCAAGACGTTCGACCTGGCGCCCACCGACGAGTTCTGGCAACAGCACAAGGGCAGGTCAGTGACGGTGGGCGCAGACGCTCCGTAGCAAAACCCACTTTATCTCATGTAACTTCACAAGTGTCGTGAAACTATCATCAACCGTTGGTGCATGATTATGGGTTGAGAGATGGGATGAATAATGGAAATAAGTGATTACCTGTTTTGTCACACTACAGGGTGATTTTTTTTAACTGTTAAAAAGTAAACGTCAATGGTGGTCCCTAAATCGAAAAATCGCGTGCAAAAAAGCATTGCACGTGATAGATAAATCTGGGACATTTTGTATGGTGTCATCATTTGTCCCTTTTGACCGACGGCCTCGGCCCCAATGGAGCCTGAAAATGTCCCACCAATCGGGCACGCATGGTCCACCGCCGTTCAGTAAGGAACGACACAAAACGATGATTTTGAAGCATTGAGGTAGTTCGAAGCATACGATGATCAAGGAGATACCTCAGAAAGACGTTAAATAACGCATGAACAAGCTTGTAATCATAAATAACCTTCAAACGATCCATCTGGCGTATGAGCAGCTTTTGAAGAATCAGTCTTCAGGGAGAAAGAAAAACAGCGAATCAGACACCATCAGGGCCGCCAGTATCAAAATCCTCGACCTGCCCTCCCTAGACTTCTAGTTTTTGGACCCAGCTATGGCAGATATAACCAGAAAACAGTGGAAATATCTGGCAGAGCTGAAAATGGGCGATAGGAGCCTTTTCAGTCCGCCTAATGAGTATGGGAGTCCATGGTGCTGTTTAACACGTGCTCAGGCGGGCTGAGTCGTGTCGGTGAGAGAGGGGGTAACTTCAAGCACAAGTAAAATACACGATGGACGTTCCTTCGCATCGTGTCTGCATGAAATCAAAATGTCCCAGAATGCTCGTCATCCTGGCATATAACTTTGCAAGATATATTTGCATTTTAACCCCACTAGACCTCATTACTTTTTAACAAGTAAAAAAAAATCACCCTGTAGGTCCATTTTTTGTGCTTTTCGTAGTTCCATGGATCGGTTCTCGTACTTGTGTCTTACGAAGACGGTTATTATCGAATGTCGACTGTTTGTAATCGCTATCTTATGCTTATGTGTATATGCAGTATGTACCCAATCAATATCATGTGAGCTGCCCTTGGTACAGCCTGGAAATGTTGTGAGAAGCCCACCTTGGCGTTAGCCTCAATTTATTAATCAGTATCCCACCACCTGGTCCCGCCATACAACTGCAACTCACCACCGTCCCCGCCGGTGCGTCGGCAGTCCGTTCCCGATGGTGGCCGAGGCGGTGCAGGAGGAGCTCGACAAGTACCGCGCCTCCGAGGGCGAGGTCAAGCAGCTGAAGCACGCCATGGGCCTGGACGGCGAGTCGGACGAGGCCATCAGCCTGTTGTCCGATAACACGGCCAAACTGACGTCGGCCGTCAGCTCGCTGCCCGAGCTGCTCGAGCGCAAACGGCTCATCGACGCGCACACCACCATCGCCACAGGTACGGATGACACAGGGGGCCTGGGGGACGGATGAACGTCCGGCGCAGGGCCACCGCCGACAAAGAGAGGGGTGTACAGGCGCAAGGCGGGGCGAGCAGGTGTCTGTTCCGTTTCGGGGCGATGATGGACGAATTGCTCGGTAGAAAGTTGATGTTTTTTTTTTAGCTGTAATGTGCAATTGAATGAAGTATGCTTCGGGAGCTTGCCACCTTTGTCAATCACCTCGTGGCGACGAAGGAGTATTTCGGCAGGTACCGGATTATTTTGAACGTCTGTTGTTTGTTATCAGCGACTATTTTTTTTCGTTCAGCGACTGCGAGTTCGAGTATTTATCGTTTGCACAAATATTTTCGCTGGATATTTTAGATCAAATGTTGCCTGTTACCTCGGTCGTGACAAAAGCCTGTTCATTCCATCCCCCTCACACCAGCTATTCTGGAGCACATCAAGCGGCGCAAGCTGGACGCCTACTTTGAGACGGAGGAGAAGCTGCTGTCGCGCGCGGCGCCGGAGCGGCCGCTGGTCGAGCTGCTCCGGGACCCGGAGATGGGCTCGGCCGCCGACGCGCTGCGGCTCTTCCTGATGCACTATGTGAGCGCCGAGGAGGTGTCCAGCACTGAACTGGAGCAGTGTGTGCAGGCGCTGTCGGAGCGCGGCGCCGACCTCTCGGCCGTCCAGTTCGCCAAACGGTGGAGGTGAGACGGGAGGAAAGTGTGGGGGGAGGGGTAGTGATGGTGAGATAGGTCGGACTCCCGGTATTGCAGTGGACGGGCTCGCGTGAAATAGAATGCGTTGGTTGGGACAAAGAACGGTTCTTAATCGTTTTGTTTTTCGTAGGGAGGTGTTAATCTACTTCGTTGTTACTGAAGCTTTTATCCTTAACTTGTTGCATTTGTTGTATTGTTGCAGCCGCCTAAATTGCAGTAAAATGATCATGTTTGGTTCCTGTTGACCCATAGCCACACCTGCTCCCTGCTGCAGCCTCTGTCGCTTCCACCGACATACCGTGCCGAGGTGTGACCGCGTCTCCGTCCTCCGTCAGGATGTATAACCGGATGCCGACCAGCGCCAACCAGTACCTGGGCGGTGGCACCAAGACCGTCAACATGTTCAGCAAGCTCATGTCGCAGGGTAGCCAGTTCGTCATGGAGGGCGTCAAAAACCTGGTCGTCAAGAAACATGTGAGTTTCTAATAAAAGTATTTGTGCTCGTCAAGTTTTAGTGAAAAGTAGCCGATTTCTCCTCAGTGATTCTTCGATACCATCAGCATAGGTAGCTGTCGGCCGACAGCAGCCTTAGCAGTCGGCGCACCCGAAAGCCCTGATAGACAAACTTACGGTTGCCTCCTCGCGTAGAACTTGCCGGTGACGCTATGTCTCCTAATACCTGATACCCGCTAACGCCATAATCCCTCTCCCCGCGCAGAACCTGCCGGTGACGCGGATCGTGGACGCGCTGATGGAGCAGAAGAGTCTGCCAGAAGTGGAGGAGTTCCGCTACCTGGACCCCAAGCTGCTGCGGCCGCCCGGCTCCGAGGCGCAGGGCGCGCGCTCGAGGAACACATTCCAGGAGGCCGTGGTGTTTGTGGTCGGCGGAGGGAACTACATCGAGTACCAGAACCTGGTGGACTACACCAAGGTCAGTACGACGACGATCTTTCTCTTCGTGGTCTCTTCTTGGTGCACATGATCAGTTTTGCGCCACCATTTGTTTTAGTAATTGTCGACATGCCTGATGTAGCTCGTTCAGCAATGACGAAAGTGAATGCCGACTTTTGGGGCTATTTTTTCTTCTTTAATTTTTCGCCTTCGTTTGATGGCTATTATTTGATCGTTACCTGATTGACGTGAGCTTGATGTAAAGATGTAAATATTTGTTGCTCTTTTTGGCTATAACCTTGTTATTATTGTGCCGACACTTATAGTATATAATTAATTATTTCAGAGCAAAACTGGCACGGCGACGAAGCGGGTCATATACGGCTGTTCGGACCTTCAGAATGCCTCGCAGTTCCTCAAACAGGTGAGTTGTCGCGTTATTGGTAGCGTAATATTTGCTGTAATTAGCGCCACTGTGCATTGAGCTTGCCACCATGTCCTCTCACTGCTGCCTCCCCAGTACCTTTTTAGATGTGCCATTATTCCTTTGCGAAAATGAATTTTTCATGAGAAAGCTCTTTAAACAGAGAAATGTCTTCGCGTACCGGTTTCAACGCCGTCCTACAACTGACGGCCTTTGTTTCTCTTGTTTCAGCTCGGACAGCTGGGGACGGAAATGCAGTGATTGACCGTGAGTGGACCGCGACATGTGCTGTGTACCAATTATCCCGGTCGGGGCGTGAGGTGACAGGGCTGGTGGTGCGGGGGCCCGCTCTCCAAATAAATATATTTATTAGGAAAGGAAAAACCTTGTGCTATTGGTAAAGCCTTAGGTGTATTTGATTTTATTTGCCCCCGGCAATTCCTGTGTAAATCGCCCCAATGGGTGGCCGAGTGTCCCTCCGCCATTCTTTATTTAAAAGCATGGCTGGTTCAGCGTGCGAGCGGCGCGGCCCGTTCTGTGATGCCCGGGCGGCCGCGCTGTGCCCGGCTATGGTATCGGTCTCCGGTGGTGCCTGGGATCGCGGGCCGCCCGGCAGCAGCGGCTGATGGGAGGACGGGAGATCGTACCGTGCGGCTGATGTGCGTCTCCCGCGCTACCCGAGGGAGACGGAGCATTTGTTACGCTGAATACAGAGACCGACTTGTTAGTTGGCTTGTGAGTATGGTCCAAGCGGGGTGGTGCGCTGATATTTGGTTGTTTGGGGTAGCTGTCCCAAAGAAAAGAGGGTAGAAGAAACATGCAATTAAGTGGTGTGTAAAGGCGGAACTCATGCATATTGTGGATTTTGCGCCGGGGCGGTAGTGCGATCGTAGTTGTGCGTCCAGGTGTGTTGGGAGTTTGGGGGGGGGGGGGGGTAAACGCTCTGCCCCCTGATATTGACTGGGCACATAAGCGACATGTATCGGTAACCGTCCTTCGAAATTTTGTATGATTTTTAGTAAGAGCTTCATTCGTTCTGAGTTTAGGTCAAACATCAGGTCAGCAAAGATCAACTCATATTTTACAGACTTTGACATTTTTGGGAAAAGGTTTCAAAGCACTGAAGCTAGGGAACATCAAAGAAAGAGAATTTCGATAGCTAACTATTCTAATCCTCGCCGGCTTAGGCGGGAAGGGTGCCGCTGCCCTCCCCCTCCCCCGTAGGGTTTTTCGCGATAGCTTGGCACACACGGGAGATAGAGAGCTTGAAACCTGGCATAGGCACTTGACATTTCATTCAAGCCGGATCTTGCGATACCAACCGCATTTTCAGGTCGGGCCAGGTCATTGACCTATGACGTCATAAGTGAACCTCTGCACGGTCCTAGAAAGTCGCAACTTCGCAACGCCCTCAGTACCAGAGGAGCTTTGACAGGGAGGTGAAACTTGCAGGACCTAGCATTATCGAGTGGTCTCACAGCTTGTATAGGTATCTCGGATTTTTCGTGAGAGTCACCTGCGGTCAGGTCGGTTACGTGACCTCACCATTATAAGTCGATTGGGAAGTATGGAAACTTATTTTGGTGCCGGGAATGATCTAACACTATCTCAAGCGACAAGCTCACGGAATCGTGATTCATGCACTCCTTGCAAGGTCCGATGCTTCACTTTAGCGTTGTTGACCTTGCGTGTCATATGAGTTTTTCGCCAAAAACTTAGCGAGGTGCGAAAGCCACCAATGAACCCAGGAAGACCGGCCGAATCAAATGGTAGGCACGCGATATGACCTCCTTCCACCAATTTCGTGATCTGAGTGGTTCTGACCTGACCTTGACCCGAGGTTAGCAGTTAGCACCTTAGTTGACCTCACCCGAACAAAAAGCATACCTACCATTCAACGCGCCCGACCTAGACAAACACAATGGTGACAAAATCGCGGCTCTGCGACCATTTTTGCAAAGTTATTTGCCAAAAACCGAGCTAGGTCCGGCGAGGTCCCGCCAGCTGAGGGTGTTTGAACACCTCTCCCCCTTGCGGTTTTTCGCGAATACCTATCTAAAAAAAAACGACGGAGCGTAGTGCCGCCGTTTTTGGCACGCATTGCGGTACCTACATGTTAGGTACACATCTTTTTACCCCCTTAATCACTGAAATTTCCCGAAGAAATCGTTCTGTCGGTGTGACTGTGGTGAGCTTTCGCTTTTTGTTGAGGCGAAGACACTATACATAATACATATAACATGCCACATGGTGACCTGTCCTTGCATGATCTGGGTTTGATTTGCGCTGAAACAATGTACCACAAGGTAGCATAAAATGCTCGTGTTTAAAATTCGCAGATAAGGAGAGAGGGCGTTAACCCTCGCCCATATTGGTGTTTTTTTCCAGCCGCGAACGTATAGGGGAGGGGGGGTCCGTTGGACCCCACCCCCTTGCCGTTTCACCCCGGACTGAGCTAGAGCTTCGCGGAAAAAACAAGCGTGCTGCCCTTGACGAGAGGAAGCCGATGATACCCAATTTTAAGGTCCTAGGTCATTTGTTGACCTTCCAGGTCAGGTCAATGACCCAAAAATCGGGAAAATCGGGGCCTGTTAGAACGTCGTAAAGTGTGGCTGATAAGTGGTAAGGGGGTTTCGGGGTGCTGATCACGAATATCATGTTAGTTTTGATAACAGATGATGTCTTCATGCATTTAGGCCAGGTCGGGTCAGGTCAGGTCAGGTCAATCAGTAGAGGTCCTGCCGGGTATTCGTATTACCCAGGTGTCTTAACCGCCTCTTACAGCTTCGTAACATGTTACGAAGGCACCAAAACTACTTCGTAAATGTTCAGACGGTTGCTAAATTCGAATTCAGCTCCAAAAACTGGCCTAGAAACATGTAAAACTCGAAAAGGTGAACCGGTCATCAAAGGTAAATGACCTGACCTGACCTTCAGGTGACCTTGACACCCACCCTAATGCATGTGGGCAACATCATATCACATGTTTAAACGTTTGAAACCACGAAAAGACTGCAAACGCGCGGCTAATGCGAGCCGACGTACGACGAATCGCGATTCCAGCCAAACATGGTCTCGAAAAGTAGGTCACAGGTCAAAGGTCATTTGGGTCAGGGTCATGAAATTTTCAGGGTAGATGTAAAATTGACTAACGCGAGGGTACTGAAAGTTTCGTCGCGATCGGCTTCTTTTTAAGCGAGTTATTCGCGAAAAACCGGGGGAGGGGTCCGTTCGACCCCCCCCCCCCATATATGGGCGAGGGTAAAATGTCCCCCCCCCCCGGGCAGTTTGAAGCATATACAAAGTTGAAGGTCAAGGTCAGGTCAGGTCACAAAAGACAATCGCTTAGCGATCTATCAAATGGGATATTTGTGACACATTTTATGAGTCATTATAAATCAACATATGCATGTTCTCTCTCGTCCAAAGCGGGATGAAGTTTGTTAGGTCGAGATCAGGTCAACCAAGGGACGGCCAAGGTCACATTCTGAAGTAGGGAGATCTTTGAAAGCAAAGAGATGTCTTATCTTCTTATGCTATTTTCCTTGCAAGTTCGGTTGCAGCCCTACGTGGCTTTTGATGCTCAGATGGGCCGAATACGCCGCACACCGACAGGAATGCACACCGGGACATCCCGCGTCAGGTGGCGTTTGTTGTTTCGCGTCCTCCAGTTGGCGGCGGTGCAACTCGCTCGATCGTCGGCCGGCACGAGTGACCTTGGGGGGCGAGCCCCTCGTCCGGCCGGCGCCGGGCCCCCTACCCGCCGCCAATCGGAGGTGTGACGTCAAACGCCCCCTAACCACCGAGGGGGGTCAAGAAGCGTGCGCGCGCGCCCCGCGTCTCGGCGCCTCTCGCCGACTGCGACCCGCCCACCGCAGCGCACATCGTCCGTCTCGCGGGTCTGCGGCGGGGCTCCACCGGCCGGCGCACTCGGGAACCGACCGCTGTCCGGACCGGGAGGTGAGCCTCAACGCGCTCCGCTCCGAGCCTGGAAAACCGGCCGCTCCCCGACCGTCCCCCGGCTCCGCCACACAGACAGGTATGTCAGACGCCGGGGCACGGCCGACCCGGTCTTGTGCCGCAGACACGGTGTGAATACATATAAAATTGTTATCAGTTAGGAACACAAAGTAAAATGCGTACCTCACGACGTGATTTCAACATGCAAACCCTTTTGATTGCTGATTGCAAATAATGCTTGGTAATGACTAGAGATGTGTGGCGAATCACTTGACGAAATTGGTTAAACACTTAACTTTTTACGTGTCCAGTGTCCGTCTATTTTGTAATGAGACGGCATCATGTGTCTGTGCTTGTAAAACTTTTGTAATCTAGAAACCAAAGCGTTGCCTTTATTAGCCTGTTATTCGTACATGAGTTGATTGACCCTTTACGGTGTTGGGGTATCGCTTTTGCTGCGACTTGCCTGTAATTGATCTTGACACGGATCATCTCGGGATCTGTATACAGGTACATAAATGGCATACATGTAGACATAAGACACCACTCAAGAAACCCATTAAAACCATGAAGTGTTTTCATTTGTATCTTTACTTTCCCATGGCCTTTGGATTTTATCAAAACTGCATGCACTGTTCAATCATAAATCACTTGGAAAATGTTGTATTGTTGGTGCAACAGCCGGATGCGACTTCGTTCCGGGGGGCAACAGACCATGCAGTCACTTACAAATGTATCTTTGCGCATTACAGGGAATAATGCGCAGTTACGGCGCGGCTGGGTTGCCGGCTGCCCGGCGCCTCGTGCGGGGATGAACTTCGACCTTTGATCCGAACAGGATGCCTCAATACGATCTCTGTATATAGAGATGCCACATATATGGTATAATGAGTCTTCCATTGCCAACGGAAAGGTGAACTTAACAAGTATGTACATTCCAGTCATGTGCGCCATTTTAATTAGCATTAGGCATATTACATGCAAAACGTTTCTAGTTTAATCTAGTCGTGGGCGCACTAGTGGGCAGGCACATGTTGTTGTTTGTTCTTGTTTTCTCTGCACTCGTTGACCCAACGACGTTGGGTCTCGGGTACCTATATTATTGCTAATGACCGATGTTCCAACTTCAATGCTCCGTAGCGGCCTAGCTCACGTTGTGCGATGAGCATCCACTCGAAAGTGAGCTGTCCCGTTTTGAGGCCGTGCTGCTATCAACATCTTGAAATGTCATTTCATCTGGCATTTCGCCCCTGCCGGCGCAACCTCTCGTCGTTCCCGGCGACTGCACCGAATCTTTCCACTCGTGTGGACGCGGGTGGACCATTTTTGCAGGCGCCAATTCGGCGAGGACTCGCATCGATCACGTGGATCGGACAGTGTTGCCAGGCGGATGTGCGTGCACGCACGTACTGTTCACGTGCACTCTTTCATAGGCGTATCGAGGGAGCGGCGCGGTGACGATTAAAATTGTCTCATAACTCAGTTTTATCTTCACAGATCACCAGTTGTGAAATTGAGGTGTTTAATATATTTTGTTTTCAAGTACCGGCAACCAAATTATTAGGCATAACATAAATGAAAAATAGTACAATGAGTACGCTTCCAATAGCCGATCTGGAAGTTTCTGTCGCTATCCGCCACTGTGCAGCGGGCAGTCTGCAGGCCGCATGTGCGTCTGCGTGTCTGCAAAGGCCGCTCTGCGGGGGCCGGTTTCGTCAGCCCACTGCAGCGGTAACGGGGAGGGGGGGGGGGGCAGTGTGCGTTAGTCACGTGGGACCATGGCCACAGACAGGGAGATTTTTATGTTACATGGGTGCAGTGCACCACGCATTATCCAGGAATTAGCTGACGTGTGCATTTTACTACATCCAAGGACAAGGTGACCGTTAAACCAGGCCCAGACGTGCTGGTGATTTGATTCACGCCTTAGCTGTTTTACTTTACTTACCTTGCATACTGACGACGTATCAAAATATTGGTAACAACAACATTAGTTTTCCTTTCCATCCTAAAATAAATTTTCGTGGAATCCTAACTTGCTTTTAACTTTTTAACCTTGTTTTTAACTCCCGTGAATGACAGGGGACAATTAATTCGGCCGAATACAATTATTAGCGAATGATTGAGTTGTTTCTGCGCAAAGACTTGTCTATCAACACTTAGGCTATAGGTATGGTTTCAACTTTCAGATAATAAAAGCGGGTGTCTTAAAGGTAGTGTGCCACCTTTGAAAGATTTCCCATTTTATTTTTCCTAGGATAAGAAGCTTCTGTTTTTACCTAATATCGCAAAAAAAAAAAAATCAAAAATGGGCCTGGAATAGTGCCTTTTTCGCCTAAAAGTTTTTCGGTTTTTAGATATGTATAACAACTGTAGTGGGCTCACCTGCAAACAGGCGTCGGGCAACAATCGCGAATGCGGCGCACTTGTGACAATAAGCAAAGGTCATTATAGTGTTACGACCATACGACGTACGGGAATGAGTTATCAGCTGTCTAATCGTAGACAACACAATGTCGAGCCTTAAACTGTAAGCCCGTATTGGTATTGTTTCTTTTATTTGGCTGTCGAACATTATTTATGGTTTGAAATATGATTTTATGTAAAATAATTGATATGAAAAAGCCGTCTTATAAGTTATGACCCCATTTCACCACACGCAAGTGGCAGAAATGACAATGATCAGCTGACGCATTTTTCTTGGCCAAAGTCAGAGCGCGCGGCCCGACGCACCACGCGTATTTGGAAATTCCGACCTCGACGAGCATCAGAAGCCACCTAACAGGCGTGTTCGAAACTGCAAGAGATGATGATGAACGGGTTTATCGAAACTTGATTGGATGAGCATATCGGTAATAGCGATTTCAGTGTGTGCATTTATTGTTCATAGTGGTGTGAAATGTGGTTGGGGTACGACCGACAACCCGTCGGGGCGAATTTCGCACTGGGATACTCAAAATTTGAAGAATTTAAGACGTTTCCATGAGTTTTGAAGGTATGGATAAGTTCTAAAAATCCGGTTCTCCTTATCTGGGCCATTAACTCCATACGGTCCAAGAAAGCTGGCACACTACCTTTCAGGGCATATTTTAAGGCACTTACTGCGTCCCATTTTGGGACGCAGCCCCCTCGCCTTGGGACGTAGCCCCTGCTGATTTGACCCACTGCGTCCCTGCCCTGTGCCCTGTCCGGTTCCCTGACCCGTGCCCTCCTGTCTACCCTGACCTGTACCCTTCCCTCTAAAATGTCCTGTGCCATGCCCTGTAACCTGCCGTGCCCTACTTTCTGCCCTCCTCAGTGCCCTACTCTGTTCCTTGCCCTGTGCCCTTAGTCGTAGCACGTGCCCTCTGCTCAACTTTGGGACGCAGTAAAAATTTGTTAAAATATGCCCTGCTACCTTTAATCTGTCTTCTCTTTCAAGCCCAAAAGGCTGAAACGTTACTCCACTCTATTGCGTAGTTCCCCTTGTTTTTGTTTCCTTCCCTGTCCCTTCTGTCTTTCTTTTTCGCCCCCTTGCCGTTTTTCCTCCTTTCCTCCCTCTCCTTCCCGCTGTCCTTGTACGCATTTCGTCGCAGAAGACGGGCCCGCGGTCCGACCATGCATTGATCCGCACTCCGCGGACCGGGCGGGCGGCCGCCAATAGCACGCGCTCGCTCGGCTGCGCCGCGCACCCTACGCACCTCCGGTTGCCAAGGCCACCGTGCGCCAGTGTGCCAGATCAGGGACGACGGGAGAGTGACGTCACCGCGTCGGTGCCGACGGAGACCGACGATTGCGGTGGGTGTGATGTGAGGTGGATGAAGTGACAGTGAAGGGATGACCATAACGGGATAGCGTCGGGATAACTACATTCGCCGAGGCCTGTCGTGGTGAGATGATTGCCTTTCCTGGAAACCCCAATCGCGGGTAAGGGCCGGTACGAATGCGAATAGGCCCGCAGACAGCGTCTGCATGCATAGCTAAGCATCGTGTGGCCTTGAACCGTCTACTCGGCGTCGTTTAGGTTGGCGAGCCCAACCGTGCAGACAGCTGGGCTTGAACGGCGCTCACGCGGGGCGGCTGCGGAGAACAAGACTGATAGAATAGTTTGGTCACACTCACACTACCCTGTAATACATATCTGTAGGTTAAAATTGAACCCAACAAAAAAAAGTTTCATTCCGTGCGTTCGAGCTAGCCTGATTTAGGATCGTCCCGTGGTTTGGGGTTGTTTGCGCGCTGACCTGTCAGCTGTTTCACCCTGTGGTCTCTCGACTCTCCCTCCCTCACCACGCCGAGCTCAACGGCTCCTCGATTGTGACACCCACAAAGGGTCACCCCGGGCCGTCCCCGGGCTGGAACCCCGCTGCTCGGCGTCCGGTTCCGTCGAAAACACGCATGTCAGACGGGGGATTATCTGTGCCCCGGAGCGCGTGAGGCGGCGCCCGGGCGTCTCGCCTAGTGACAGCACGCGGCGCTTGCGGGCGCTCGCGGGCGCCGGCGCAGCGGCGGGGCGCAGTGCGCGACCGGCAGTGGACGTGCCACGTGGAGCCGACTGTCGCTGCCGCTCAGGGCCCCGACACAGTTGCAAACGGCGGCAGACTAATCGATATTCAACCGGTTAGGGTGAGAAGGTAAGCCGCCAACGTGTGGCGAAGGTACTGCATTAGTAATAAGCATTCGGCATTCGACGCAATTGATTTAGTTGAGTTGGCTGCAAGTTGTGCGACATTTCGGCTCCAATGATGTTGTTTTGATTTTAGTAAAAATTGTGAGTCATTGGTGATACTTAGCCATTACCAATGACGGTGTTATCTATAGGAATCGTGCAAGCAATAAGCAAAGTGGTCAAGGGAAATAAGTGGAACCCCGAAACGGTATGACTAATTTCATCAAGTGAATTGAAATTTGTCTTTACCAGCGTATGAATAGGTGCTTAAAAAGTGCATAAATTGAGGTCGCTTACCAACGCTGCGAGTGAGTTATGTCATATGTGTGTCCCTTATGCCATATATGTAAATCCTCGCTTAGGTACGGTGTGTCCAATGCTCAACCACTCAAGGAAGCCATGACTATGGATAACATCCCACCAATCATAGAGCTTTTATAGATTTGTCCTTGGAAGCCTTCTGATCCGATTTGATGGATTTTCTGCACAGTCGCACTTCCCCGTCCTACCGCACCAATGCACCATTATTACGGACGAACGAATTCAGGGTCGCCTGTTCCTTCTCCATGCATTTCTATCAAAAGGTACCTATACTTAACTTCATTTCAAAGCTATATTATCGTATTGTAGGTTAGAACTTATAGACCAGTGTTACCGCAACGAAAAACGCCGGCTGTGCATGCACCTATGTATTTTTATCCCTGAAAGTCGTTCATGAGTTTCACCAGCCACGCGATGATAAAGTAGCTGATTAGAAAAAAAATCAGTTTGGCTGGCTTAATTTTTTTTTTCAAATCAGCGGTTAATTTTTGGGTAGCTGGCGAAACTCGTTGGTGAAAATAGGCTACAAAGTACAAATAATTCTTGCAGGCGATTTTTGCGTTGGTAAAATTTGCCTTAGGTAGGCATGATAGGTATTGGTAAGCATCAATCAATCAATCACAATCATTCTTGATCAAAGTATCAAGCTTGAACAAGAAATCAAGACACAAGCGTCTTAGCAACATCGTTCCGTAAGCGGTCGCTATTTTTAACCTCTTGTGATCCTACTGATCAGAAACTACGCCACTAGTCTAGCCGACGCCGTGGCTCGGGTGTCCTATTTAAAACCCGGCTTCTCTCTTCCCTCTCCCACTCCCCTCGCGCCTCACACTGGCATCGTAGCCCGTTGGCGTCATTCATACAAAGGTCAACCGAAACGACCGACGAACCCGCGCCGCCAGACCGGCTGGGAATTTCCACAAGGACGGGCGACTAACCAAATCTGAACCCACGTGGGACGCTGTTTTCGTTCCGTGTTGTGATTCGCGATACTGCTAAGAACCAAGCCATTTGAGGCCATGCCGCCATCCGGTGGGAAAATTTAACATTTTATTCTATCGAATACAAAGCTAAAAATAAATTTCACATGCTCTTTCACTTACATTTCATATAAATAAACAATATTTGCATTTCGTTTATGGCATTACTTGCTACAGGTGTACCTACCTAATTAAAGGACTTGGATCAAACCTGAACAACGAAATTTTATTTATCTACCTCCGCGTAGATAAACATGTCACGTGGCCGAGTTCCGGGAGCCGTCTGCTAGTTCAGGTCGGGCCTCGTCCCTCGCCACAGCTGTGGTGATCGATGACATGCAGACTCCCCTGCCTGTGGCCTCAATTACTGCCTTCCTGCGGTAGCACACACATTCAGCTGGTTAATGTCAAAGTGTCGAGCTCAAGGCGAACTGTTATGTCGTTTAACTATTATGGAAAGTAGTGTTGCGAAACGAGTTCCATGGTCGTGTTTACTTATGCCAACGAATAGCTAAAATGACGTTAGCATAATACCTAATCAGCTACGTGTTATCAATAATATCATTAGCGCACTTGTTTCACAACCCACTTCAGAAACGATTCGACGAGACTGAACAATGCTATTCAGCCCATGAATTATCATAGCAATATCTACCCTAGAAAATGAACAAATGTATGATAAACATTCATTATTTAGGGGTTTGCTTACCTTTCTTCATAACAGCACGCATAGCATTCCGGTGTGCTATCGGTCATGCATTCGATCCAAGCAAGCTACATGTGGAAATGTCGTAACACACAACCTCTTCCCTGTGCATTGCGGCACAGCCTACCTAACCGTCAATGCATTGCGGCACACCATACCCATCAGGCGCTCTCTAAGCATTGCGGCACAGTCTACCCTCCCGTTCGCTCTCCAAGCATTGCGGCACAGTCTACCCTCCCGTTTATTTGATTCCGCGGCCACTGGGCGAGGAGAGCCTTACGGCTTTCAACGTTTTTTTACCGTAGCTGTTCGTTTCGTTTGCGGGTGTCAAAATGCTTTTGTATTTTCTTTGATACGCACGTTTGAAATGAGCGCATACTGTGTAGTGTGTGCGTTAGTTTCATCACAACATTCCGTACGCTATGATTTTGTGTAGACTTCGTCTTTCAATGAAAATCCCATTGATAATCTCAGGAAAAATGACGCTTGTTTTCGACTGCTTTATTGATTATTCACATAGTTGCCACCATGCTTTATTTCAACGAAACGCTCCGAATGCGTCACTCTGGCTTCATCCCCAGTTCTAGCCTGCTCTTCTGCCCTGTTTCAGTGAGTGACGTCCTGCAGTGAGACCCCTGCACGAACTATCACGATGCGGTCTCTCTCGCTGTGCCGCCGTTTGAGCACGGCCAGTGTCCGCCAGGGCGTGTTCCGCTCCCACGCCGAGGACATCCCGCTGGCTGATCGGCCCATCTTCGAGATGATCTGGGGCCGCCGCCACCGCTGGGAGAATCGCACCGCCTATGTGAGTACACACTGCACGCGCGGTGGGAGAAATGAGCTCCGCCTCCGTGTATTATTGTCATGTTTGGTAAATAATCATCAACCCCTTGCTCTCACTGGCTAATCATACAGTCAATACAAAATGGCAAAACATGCAATCCGTGCAAGTTATGCGATAAAAAGAACAGAGATGAATAGTTGCCAAATACGAGCAGGGTATTTTGCTATGCTGTCCCCTGCTGTTCTATAGGACAAACCTGCGTGATTATGCTATCTTGTCCATGTTTATGAAACAAAACGATATCGTCATACTAAATGTAAAAAGGATAAGCGTCATCAACACACAAAAAAGCTTTGCTTCGGATTGGCAGCTTACAACGGTCAAAGAAGCCTTACAGTAACATCGTATTCTTGAAATGCAGCCGTAGATCTGACCACGACAACACAACTTTTTAGGCTGCTGCGACATGGTGTTAAGCTGCAGAGGTCGGCAGATATGACGTGGATTTACCAGAGCCTGCCCTTCGATCTGTCTCTCGACCATTTATATTTCCTTTATGTACACAAACGTTAAACCTGACAGCATAAACCAAAGTGACGATAGAGAGTGACGCAGCATTTTACCGAAACGTATTGGAAATTTACAGAGATGGAAAGATACTATGAGTAGATATAGATATTATTCTGACTGAGCTTAGTATGATTTTGCCAAGACTCAGCCAAAATTTTGCCTGGATTCTGCCTGGCCAAAACTCAATTGACTCAGGATGCATGTTGTCCTTATAGATTGAGCTGACATGAAGTATGTATTACAATATAGCAAGGCGGAAATTTCCGTGGAGAGGGGAACGACCATAATATAACCCTCTATTGTACCAAATACCAATGTACACGTACTATCATACAGTCAAGTCAACGGTGAAACACGCACGGTAAATATTGGCCAATAATTAATTTAAAATCGCTTACGCTTAGCTTAGCATCAAGTACGACTTACCTTGATTCAAATGTCTTCATTTTTTTACGGCTCGGAATTGTCCGACCGGCAACCGTTCCGATGAATGATAAAACCATCGATTCGAAGTAAACTTATTTGACTTTTGTTTGACAACACAGTTTAACACATCAAACATAGGATACACAATACACATTACACAAAACACATTATCATGCTTTTACCACCCACGGTGTGGTCGCTTGTTCAATGGTCAGTGCGGCACATTCCAAGAATAGCCACCCGTTTTGTAGTGTCATCTCGGGTCGGTTTCGCACCCATCGAGTGCTCTGCCCGAGGTGCCGCCAGTCTGTTTGAGGTTCAAGTGTGCACCGGTGTCGTCTCGGTGTGTACCGACAGTCGTAGATCTGGCTTCTGACCAGTCATCGTCACTTGTCGAGGCGTTCTCCGGCCGGACTTTGGTCGAGCTGTCCCAGACCCGCCCTCTGAGCTCTGGGAATGTGACGGCTCGGGCGGTATCGGATTTCTGGGCAGCCGGACCACGGCACTGGGTGTGCTGACCTTTACACTTACATGACCCAGTGCTACCTCCTGCATCCAATAAACCAGATCTCTCGTATTCGTACAATCTGTCTAGTTCTCATTATTTATCACTCGGTTCAATTGCCATTTTCTATTACACTATCAAAAGAAATGGGGAATCGAACAACAGCAGCGTCTTGAGATTTTTATCCGTCGTCTTTTGTCTACTTCAATAACACGAAATATTTACCATCGTTCCCAGGTGTGCGGAGTGACCGAGAAATCCCTCACCTATAACGAGACGTACCGTAACGTGCTGCGGTTCTCTGACGCGCTGGACAAGCGCGGCTACAAACACGGCGACGTGGTGGCCGCCTGTCTGCCCAACTGTGTCGAGATGCCCGTCACGGTGCACGGGTGCGCCGCCAGGGGCATCACGACCACCACTCTGAACCCGCTCTACACGGAAGGTGAGGCCGCTGCACTATATATTAGCTCCATATATACTTGAATCATGTTTGACGATGAGTCACTCAAATATTGATCGGGAAGAAGCAGTTCGACTTGTCAACTTATTGATGAAATAGTAGAGTGAATAATGAATATCCACATTTGCTGTTCTACAATGTTTTCCGTTATTCAGTGTATTCTCCTCTGTTTCAAAAATACCCTGCTGTCCTAACATATGCAACTGCAGCAACTTCCTATGTTATTATCGGCGCCTTTCTGTGCCGTTTTTCCGCGTCTGCCGCTGCACACCACACCACATCCCAAACAAGGTCGCGGATCGGTTTGCAAACAAAACCTTCCGCCCCGCGTCCCGTAGTGGCTGCACGGTTTGCTTGTCCTCGGCGTGCACCTATAGAGGCCGTGCCGGGGGCTCGACCCGCGACGTCACAAATCGTCCGTTGATGCACGGACAACAATCACACGAGAGGGGTCAACCGGGCCGCGCCTCCATGTGGTGCACCTTGTGCTCGTGACTGTAGTGAGCTGAGATATAATGATAACGTCCGTGATTCAGCAAAAGGTTGTTCTATCATGCAGTTTAGATGTTTTTTGTGTTAATTGCTTTTCCACATTAGCAACGATGTGTTTTTACTGTCCCAAAAATGATTAACCCGCGCCCTGGTGGGGTCTGTTTATAACGCGAGCTGGTGGGGGGGGGGCTATTTTTTGCCCCCCCTCGTATCTCCGAAACTACTGGACGGATCCGCAAAATTCAAACGGCGTTCGATAGCCCTGTCAAATTTGTTGAGGGAAACCAAATTTTATTGACCTCGGGGTCACCGATGACGTCACAGGTCAGGTCAAAGATAAAATGTTTCGCCGTTCACGGGGCTTCTAGGGAAAGCGCTATAACACCGAGTAAAACGCATTTTGTCGAAAATCAGCGATAAGACGTCAGTTGTCTAGTACATATGTTGCTATTAGAGGTCACTGGTCATACCAGGTCAGGTCACAGGTCAGGTCACCAAAGGTCACCAAGGGTCACCACATGAACCCAACTTTACTAAGGTTGTGCGATGCATGTTTTATGGCCAGTTTTTCATTTCCAACCCAATGATGTTGGTTATAAGACCATCAGGTACGGTTTAGGTCACTTTCTGTTGGAGGTCAGGTCAAGGTCAGGTCAAAAAAGGTCAAATTTCAAAGTTGATATTTTTGCATGAAAAGGGTATCGATTCGATGCAGCTCGTCACGGGGAGTCTAATGGTGGTCTTTGTTTTGCACTACGAGGTCTAGAATTGCTAAAAATTGAGTTTGAAAATTTGACGTCATCAATTTTGAACAGTTTTTTCGCTATAACTTCGCCAAAAAAAGAGGTATCAATCTAAAATTTGGTATGTGGATGGAAGGCGGTAAGGACTATCACATATGTTCCGGTTTTTGCGAAATTCAAAAAACTTTTTTGGATTTTTTGACTATTATATCCCAAAAATCTATTTTTTGATTTTTGGGGGTCAAAATAAAAAAAATCAAAAATCCGAGATGGCAGTTTTGTAGCCCTGTCAATTCTACAGCTTTTATGTCCTAAACATTTTTCTGTATTTGCAAAGCTATAGGCCTGACAGCTCTTCCCGCGAAACCCTTTTTTGGGTCGAAAACGGCAGAACATGACGTCACTCTGACGTCATTTCCGGCCAACCTATCATAGCTTTTGGAAAATTTTTTGGTCACAATGTGTAAAATTGATGTCCGGGAGGGTACTGAAAGTTTGGTGACGATCAGCGCAGCGGTTCTGGAGATATATCGAAAAGTCTGGAGGGGGGGGGGGCAAAAAATAGCCCCCCCCACCAGGTCGCGGGTTAAGGAATATATTTATAAAATAGCTATGGAAAACACTATCAAGGTTGTACTGCTGTTACCGTAATTTCCCGTTACCCAATGGGCTGTCCGTTTTTTTTAGCAGTTATACCAATGTAATCACAGCTTCGATCCATCAAAATACCTACCTATAACTTGCACATTTTATCGAAATCGATAACAATGTTTGATTTAAACAATAAACATGCCTTTTGCTCCTATGAATTTTGCGTGAAATCACGCGGTATGTACGTTACGTTGCAGGCAGGCTAAGTTAAACACAAATCCAGTGACCTTTTAGTTCGTCAGCAGAAGCTCGTTATGTATACGGAGAGGGGTGTAATGTGTATTCTGGTCTGATCATGAGCCGCGGAAATTTCCCTAAACTGGCGGCTGTGATTGCCTTGGAATGCGGTCTCTAATGAGCTTGAGTGAATTCTGGTGCTGAGTGTCGACGGAGTGGAAAGGGATTGCTATCTCTAATCTTATCACCCTCCCGTATAAAATGTCCGCGCTTATTTCCACGTAAAACGCAATTACGGTCCATAACCTAGCACGCCAATCATTCTTATTACGTGGCTGACGCCCCCCCCCCCCTAAAAAAAGACGCGGTCGCACTTCATTTCTTCAAATTTGCCGCTTATAACCTGCACACTTTCTAAAACGACTTCAATAAGCAATCACTTCACCCATTAGGAAGAAATCAACTGTTCCCGCCTGACAACACGGAAACGACGGTACCCTCTCTGGGGCCCCAGGACTTTGAACTTTGGACTTTGTACTGTGGACCTTGCCCCAGTCGGCGGCGCCGCGACATTGCTGGGTCAGGGCGTGTCAGCGGACGGGTTCCAGACGGCTGCACAGCCCGATTAGCCCGCTCTGGTCCGGGGGGGACGGCTCGATGACGCTCGGGCCGGGCGGCGGCACACGTGACAGGCAGACGGGGACCGGATGGGAGCGAGGGGCGTGCCCTGGCTGGACGATATGTTTGGTGACCGGCCGAAGGGTTGTAAACGGATCGCCTGCAGTGGAGCGCTGGCGGGCGTCGTTTGGGTATGTCGCAGTTACAGGCCACCATGCCGTGAGTCGATGGCTGTGGATGCACAGGGCGATGGTGATTGATGTGAGACATCAATTCAGTCTGTACGGCGTCACAGGAACAATGATGGGCTCATAAATAAGCTTAAGCAATTAAGTTACGCTGGACGTTTCTTGCTTGTCTTTCGTAACCTGAAGATGCCGTCTAAAAATAAAATTGTTCTTGTTCTGTTGCGCTAAGCAAATTGAAGGAGATTTTCAATATTCAATCATTATTGTAGTCTGTTAGGTATCTTTTTGGTATAACCATCATTCTATAGTAATAATTACAGCAGAATAATGGAAGGTTCAAGTCATGCCCGCTTTTTTCAGGCTTCAGCACATATATGTAATATACGGCTCTCGAGATGTCACCTAACCCGATATCACAAACCTACCCTAAAAACCGTGTCAATAAAGTCGTCACCTGACCTATCACTGCGATAAGGTATGAACTATGAGCTACCGGAAAGAAAATATCACAATCTTCTTACAGCTAGCATACAATGTCTCATAGTAGCTCTCTCGACCTTTGAATGAATGTCATAGGATGCGCGAAGAGCGCTGGGATGACCTCGACTCGAATTCTCGGAATTCCTTCCCTCCTCTCCCTCCCCTCGAGTGGGGACACCTGTCCGCAGCCCGGTGGTGTCGGGAATACTTTTTGCGGCTTAACAAAAAACTCAGCCACGAGCCTCACGTAGCGCACGTTTTAATTTGGTTCCTTCTTTCGTCGCCGGCCTCCGACTATCAACGTTTTTTGCTTGTGTAGCGGAGTCGTTTGGCTGCGGATGACTCGGACTCGGTGAGTTATTTCCGTAGGTCTGTGACGCAGTTCTGGGCGATTTGGAGAGAGGTGGACGGGGAGATGAGAGGAGAGGAAGCTCGGGTCGCGGGGAGCTCGAGCTCGCGCTGGCAGTCCCTGGCGGCCTCCGCCGATAGCTGACGCAGCGTGTGTCCACGGCTCGTGCGGCCGCTGTGGACGTTGGCAGGCCGCCCTCGTAGGCCGCGTTTGCCGGCTCACCGAGCTAGCTCCGGTCCGGCTTTCTCCGCCGAGCTGTGCCGGCCGTGAGCCCGGTCGGCTCCCCCCTCTCTCTCTCTCTCTCTCTCTCTCTCTCTCTCTCTCTCTCCCTCCCTCCCTCCCTCCCTCTCTCCGCGATCGCTCGGATAGGAAGCGTGTTTTTCTCGGCGCGCTCCAATCCGACCAAAGGCGACTGTCGCGTGCGGGCCCGCGTGACGCGACCCAGGGCCGGGCACCGCAGCCCGTCCCGAAGTCTTATCAATACGCCGTCGCGGACTGACCTGGTTTACTGGCTGTGGGAGACTGCGGACCGGGCGGCGGCTCCCGGCTGCTCCGACCCCAGAGGGCGGCGCCCCGTACCCTGGGTGACAAGTGAAGCATCGCTGGCGTGGCGGCCAGCCGGGCAGGGTCAAAGTCCACCAGGGCATGAGGCCCCAACACGTGCTCTTGCCTCAGTTTTCGTGGAACTTGTGTGTACTTATGACAGAGATGCGATGAGAACGGGGTTGAAGTATACCAATTGCAATGTTTGGGTTATGAGAGCGATGCTATTGCGCAGTTAGTGGCCCTAGATAGGGCAATGTTGTGATAAACCCCGTAAGATAGGTCACCACAAGGTCACGGTTTTGCCGATAGAGCAGGTCGCTGACACTCATGCGATTTTGTAAAAGCTAACTTACCTATATAATGTCTTATACATGTCAAATGACAAGTTTGTTTGAGTTGGCACTTCATCACTTAGGAATGGAGAGCAGCAGGCGGCGCATAATTTATAGCCTATAACACTTATCATTATATTTTCTTTTAGATACTTTTGACAATACAAGGCATACGCCAGAGGTGTGTGCCGTGCTATTGCGTGGTTTCCTTTAACCCTCGCCGGACCTATTGGTTTTCTACATACGCGCCGGCCGAGGGGGGGGGGGGGGGGGCGGGTACGACCCCCCCTCGCCGTTTCGCCCCTGGTGGAGCTAGCGCGTCGCGGAAAAAACGAGCGTGTGCGCCGTTACGAGACGCAGAGATTGGTACCCGATTTTAAGGTCCTAGGTCAACCGGTGACCTCTG